AAGTACGCCGTTTGACGCTAAAAAAACGTGACGTCATAATTCACAAACTCGTACAAAATTCATAGAAAACTGTCGTTTTTGACAGTTCGAAAAAAGTATTGAATTATTCGTTGTCAAGTACCCGATTGTTGGTTTGTTTAACGACAAAACATCAACATAGAAAAATCTAATAACAACAAATGGATACTAACACATTAAGTGTTGTAGTAATAGATTCTGTTGTGACCATTTGAATACGAAGTAAAATTGCAGTAATTACCAGCTAATAGAGTAACTACTATTCAATAATAACAACAACAAATTGTTCCTAATACATTTACAAAATACTACCCCAATATAGTAACCACTTCCCTAAGATTCCTCGCAAAATATTCGTGTCTGTGGTGACGGACGTTATTTGAGGTATGCAACCCAACTGTCGGCTCTGTTGAGTGTTACCGGCTGATTTGACACCGACGTCTACACTACTTCACAGATTATACACTGCTCTATGTTTGTGTATAAACATGCATACGCTCGTATGCATGTTTATACAAGTAATCTGCCGTCATTACGTCTCTTGATCCCTTTTGGGATAGGTAGAAGTGCACATATACAAGGTATTGTTTTAAAGCCGCGTCATTTTCTAGGAGATAACTCGGCTATCGATTCTGAGTCCGAATCAATAAAAAAAATTGTAGGTAAATATTTTTAATTTTTCTGTAAATTACGGAAATCCGTAGTGCGAACTACACGCCGCCGTCTTGTAACTAGCTTTATAACGCGGCTTAATACAGACAAACTCAAACACGTAATTGATATTATTAATAATTCCATAAAACTCCAATGAGAAACATTGCTGTCGCTTATTCTGAAATACTGTAGAACTTAAACGATTTATTATAGCCGTATTTTTAATTATTGGCCCGAAATTTTCTTTTACATTAAATAAATGACACGTTTTAAAAACTACACCTTGTATAATATAAAATTCATTTTTTTATTACATGTGAGGGCCTACCTACCATTGTATACACAAATGCTTCAAATATGATTTGCCCTGGAATATTGTGATTTCCTAGTAAAATATTACATATTTGCTATAAAGTGATGTCTAAAACTACAAAATATTTTATAGGTAACTAGCTTCAGCCCGCGACTTCATACGCGCAATCCCGTTCTTCCCGTTCCCGTTCGTGATTTTCGGTGAAAAAAAAAAATTAAAAAAAAATCGATGAAAAAGTATCCTATGTCCGTCTCCTAGTTCTAATTTACCTCCCCACCAATTGTCATCCACATCGATGTAGCCGTTCTTGAGTTATAAGTAGTGTAACTAACACGACTTTCTTTTATATATATAGATATAAATTAATTGTTACAGTCTACTCGATTGTAAACTTTATACTTTGCTCGGCGTACTCTCGTACACGTACAAACACATTCTCATATACACATTCATTCACACACACACACACACACTCTTACATTCCTACTCACTTTTTAATGATGTTAACGATAAGAATAGTCTTAAGGAAAAGGCCGTATTATGACAGAAGCAACACAAGCTGTGCCTAGTGCGGTTGTTATTGTATACTGGATAAATACGTATGCATTGGGCTTGTATTAAGAATTTTTATTTTTATGTATTTATGTTGGATTAATAGTAAAAGTATCATAGAATCAACATGGCTTGACTGGTAAACAATGGTAATGCCATTAATCCAATACCTTCGTGCTCTTTAGAACGACACAAAGCATTTTACCTAAATAAATGAGAATTTATATGAGAATAACGTCGTGGTGGCCCAGAGGTTTATGACGCACTTCTCATACATGAGGGTTCTGGTTCGAAACCTACCAACGGCAAGTACCAATGTGACTTTTTCCGAGTCATATATACTTTCTAAGATTATTTAGACACTGACAAACGGTGAAGGAAAACATCGTAAGGAAACCTGGGCTTATAATTTCTAATTATAAGTTTGAAATCGCCAACTCGCATTGAGCAAGCGTGGTGATTAATGCTCATACCTTCTCCGTGTGAGAAGAGGCTTTGCTCAGCAGTGGGCATTTACCTCTATAGGTTGTTGGTGATGATGATGAAATGAGAATTAATTCATTAAATATTATTAAAATTTTCAGTACAACAATTATGTATTGTTAAAAACCCACAAAACTATGAAAGAAATCCTAAAACTACTTCCGTATAATAAATACGAGTGCGTGTCGCTGGGTCCGCGCGAGGTAAGTTTTTAATTTTATTTAATTGACTGCACAATGTCAGAGGTGAGCCAGGGCTGGCACAGATACAAAACTGTGTTTTAATATAATATTAATTGACCAATTCATGTCATATTCTGATTCATCGCTTTGTAGGTTGAGTTGGTTGAGTGCAACCATCAACTGCAACCTCATGTGTTTTTCTTGAAACGAAATTATAAAGTATTAATAATATTTTTGATTTTCAAAAGCTGACATTGGTAGATTTTTTTGAGGAGGAAAATCGTCCAATGCCTCCTTCGTCTTTGGGTTATGCGAAAGGGAGTGTCAAACTCTTACTGACTAAAAACCACCCCATTCTTACTTCTGCTTTCCGAGCCGGAGCCCTGGCAATCCGTTAGGCCTTCCGCGGCTCAACATTGGTAGCATAAGGTTTAGAATTGTGGTCAGTTCAATACTATATTTACAATAAATGCACTCCTGCTTACCTCTTTATTTAAAAGGTTATTATGTTAAATATTCTTAAAAATCATATTTTTAAGGTAAATGAAACCAATAACCACCTGTAAACACTGTCTTGGCTTCCTAACTCTAACTGAAACTCAGTTAGGTTGCAATCTCTTGAAGATTTAAATTGATCTGAAAGCTAGTCATCTTAGTCATCTCATTCTAAGGTAAAGGCGAAACTAAGGCAAGTACGTAGCTCGTTGAAAATTGTTGAAAATCATCCCCTAAATTTGTTCATACAAAAGTAGTCTCTAAACATTGGAAATAAGGTCTATAATGTAGTTAGTGGAAAGCGGCAACCGGTGACCGCTTGGGGATATACGGGGTAGAGCAACTTATTGCCTAAGTGACAATGTGACATATTAATCATTCCTAAATAAACTACATTTAAAAAACTGACTTCAACCCGCATTTATTTTTTAATTCGTTAATTAATATACTAAAACTTGTTCCTAAGAGCCGATTTTTTAATCATCAGTTAATTCTTAACTGTGGAATAAAATTGATAGTTAACAGTTTTTAGTATGGAAGAATTGTCAAATATTTTTTTTAAGGGCGGAAAATCATCGAATGACTGAGGGAATGTCAGACTCTTACTGACTAAAAACCACCCTGTTCCTTCTCCTGCACGTCGAGCCGGAGCCCCGGTTACCCGTTAGGTTCTCCGCGACTCCGAATCGGCATCGGCCCTATTGGGCCCTATTGTCAAATATTGAACGTTATTCCTCAGTTAAAATTTAACTGAGCATTGGTAAAAGTGTAACAAAAACTTTTCTGATAACCGCATCAAAATTGGTTCAGGCAATCGCGAGATAATTGCGCACATACGCGAGATAATTGCGCACTTACTTTTTTCTTTTTGAATTCGGTTAAAAAAGATGAGTATTTGACTGAACACTTGACGTAATACACTGGTGTAATCGAAAACATATTGAGGCATTATTACCAAACTAAAAAAAAGATTAGTTATCAAATCGTCTTACAAGTGAGGTATTTACTAAAATTTGTTAAAAAATACACACAATTACGTCTAGTGACAACCCTACAAATCGACAGGGTGTGAACATAATTAATTACTCTCTAAGTGAGAGTACGCGAGGGTTGTCACATAGCTGTAGATTGCGCCAGCCAGTAATTGTCATCGAGGCCTTCAACCCTGCCACGTCATACGTGTTCAAATTTATCTTCATATTCAATTGAATTAACCCGAGTGACGAGTGACATCATTTACTTACTTACATTCTCTTTCTTTTGGTATTTTTGTACTAAGTTCTAACATGTCCCTTCTGCTAGTGACAACTTCGCCCACGTAGTTATAGATAATAGCTTACATATCACTCTCCAGCTTCCATCATACCATAAAGTTGGTCTACCCAATACGATTTTACATTTATAATGTCAAATATTAATAATAGTAATACGTTTTGTTATTTATCTTCATAAAAAATATTTACAAAAAACTAAATGAAGGCCCGTTAAATATTTGATCATTAACACTCATTAAAGATCTTAAAGAATCTAGTAATTAAGTTTTATTAGAGGTCGCGTAATAAAATATTCGTATAGATTCTACAAGTAATACGCCGCAGTCGTAGCCGCGTAGTACTCCGCTACGAGGCTACGTGCTACGGCTACAAGCTACACCGCTACAGCGCTACGAAGCTTAATTAAGAAATATTAGTTTGTGCAAATTATCGTTGCAAGTGTTTGCTTAGAAAGTCAACTAAGTTATTTATATTTTTTCTAGAAATGCTTCTCTTTGGTATTAGGTATGGAGAACTAGGTTCAGGTGGCGGCTTCGTCTATGTTGTCGGAATAAAAGTAGCCTGTGTGTTATTCTAACTTGATTATTATTTCAATATTAGTTCTTAGAACAAGGCTAGATTATGGGTGTAGAATAGGCTTCTTTTTATCACATGGGAACGTATTCAGTTCAGATCTCGACTATTTAAATAAAAAAATAAAAATATTACAGCTATTGCAAAGTACAATGGAATTGTGGTTTAAATAGAAAATTGACCGGCTCTCTCTTAATGAAACTTTAATCACAATGCTCTGGACAACATTATGAAATATTTCAGCGAATAGTTTTCAGGCACTGTAATTCAGTCGCAACTGAATAACTGTTGAGGAATGCAACAGGTATTGTATAGCTATTTGCTTCATTATTGTCTGTTATTATGAAACTTGGTATTTTATACATATAAATACAGGTAACATTATAAATTAGGTTCTTAATATGTTGTTTTGTATTGTATAGATGACATGGAGGAGCGGGTAGCGTAGCGGGCGGTATGGCGGGCATGCCCGTGCTGGGTAACAGCGTGGGCGCCGGCGAGCTGCGAGACAACAGCCGCGGTGAGTTGAAAACTATACTTTCATTCATCAACAGCCTATAAATGCCCACTGCTGAGCAAAGCCTCTTCTCACACGGAGAAGGTTTGAGCATTAATCACCACGCTTTCTCAATGCGGGTTGGCGATTACAAACTTATAATTAGAAATTATAAGCCCAGGTTTCCTCACGATGTTTTCCTTCACCGTTTGTCAGTGGTGTCTGAATAATCTTAGAACGTACATATAGCTCGGAAAAAGTCACATTGGTACTTGCCGTTGGCAGGTTTCGAACCCTCACCCTCATGCATGAGAAGCGGGCGTCTTTAACCTCCGGGCCACCACGACATTACTTACTGTTATTGTAATTCTTGCTGATTTTGTAAAAGTTAATTAGATACATTTTTAGCCATTCTCTGATCAACCTGATTCTTTAAAACGGTAATCTCCATTCGCGCTTGCGAAGTGTGGGGTTTATGTCATAAACTTATTTATGTGGAAGAGACCAATAGTCCAACATTGGCTTCTTTCGGCTTGTTGATAAAATGAATAATATAGAAAAAAATATTTAATGGTTATTTCGAAAGTCTTTCTCTCTATTACAGCAAAATAGTTTTAAATATATAAAAAACAGAATGCCCAAATTTAAACTCATTCTAGAAGGTCATAATAAAGGTTTTGTTAATTAACAGTCGACATGTTGGCAATTTCTGTAGTCAATTAAATCTATTCTGATTAATTTTTTAACAATTGCAACGATATTTAGTATATTATTGTTCCTAAAAAATTTGAGTTTATGAAGTTTCATATTACGTTAACTTTTTAGTACTTATTTATTTGGTTTTCCAATTAAGATGGACGTCGGGAAATAATGAGACTTAATTTATGAAGCGCTTCTGCAGTGGTTGGAGACTTATTCTTCGTTTTAAGAATATTATCTTGCACACAATTAGTTAAGTTAGTCGTTAACTGCTAATATATAAAGATGAGTTTACTTTGTTACTTTCTTCAGGTTATTTTAACTATTTTATTATAAGCAAACTAAATGCCGAAATTTATTTTTAGAAAAAGGTTGTAAACTAAAGCGTTTTAATTATTCGTCTTAGATTTTGAATTTGAAACCAAATGAATCGATATATATCAATAGTTTTGGTATTATAGAAAGAAGATGCGTGGTTCCGTACTCAGTAATTTGTAATAGTAGAGGATTGAAGAAGAATATCTTGCAAGAATGTTTCGATCAACTATGAGAGTGCTCGATCCTGGTCTATTCCTGTTATCCTGTAGGTACGATTTAACTGTGCACTTTTAACTGTACAACCGGACTATATAGACAAAAGTGCATAATTAGAACGAAAGGTGTGTAGGTGCATTATACCAAGCTGCCATTGTCATTAGACAAATGAAGCATGTAAGTCTAGAATAGAGTTTTCCTAATTGAACTCCCAAGAGTCAGTCTGTCTATTGACATTGTTGTCCTAATCGATTACACACTAATCGATGTCCGAATACGAACATCACGTAGTTGCAAACAAACGTGGAAGTATTTATTTAGGAACCAAATTACTGAACTAGTGAACACGACTTTTTTATTGATGTTGCGATTACGAAGGTTTGATTGGCGTAGTGGTGGGGTTTTCTTACAACATAATCGATTATAGTTCCTAATTGATTAGCAATAATCGCTTGCCTCCTATTCTATGAAAAAACTAAAATCGATTATGTATTAAGTTTTAATTTTATTTTTTCAGGTATCAACATTTAAATTCTACTGAATAACAGCATTAAAGAGGAAATACTTACGGTGTTTGGATTCTGAAATTTAAAATGAAGGCTAATTGATTTATCTTAAAATCATTTAGGAAACTTACTGATAATATACTTATTTACATTTTGATAGGTCATACAGTAATTTAAATGAAATCAATAAATTAAGGAATACGTTCGTAATCTACATTTATAACAAAATTCATAATCATAAAACCTTAAAACTTAACACAAACGTGTGCATAGATATTCCAAAACATTAAATTTAAAAATCCAAAACATATTCCATACAAACCTCAATTTATTTTTATTCACCACTTGTTACGACAGATCGATTTCGAGGTTTCCACTCGTAGACATATGCATCGCTTACTCGATTAATAATCGAGTGTTTACATGTCATGTGTACCTCACTATTTCCTGGAGATTGCGGCCGATTGGAGGACTCTCGATTGATATGTCGCACACATCTAACTATCTACAGGTCTATTTGATTGGTAGACGATATTACTTTATAGTTCAAAGTAACTGTGAAAATATGTATGATTATTCTTAACAACCCTTTTTGATTTGTATTGTAAGTTTCGTGAGAAATTATTATGTTTTCGGCTTACTAACGTAATAATACGAGTGCTACTGGTAGCAGCGCGACAGTTGCCGCGTCGCGGGTGGTCGCGAAATACTGCTCATGAATATGAGCCTCCAGCATGGCTTGAAACTAGTCGAGTTCCTCGTCAAATTATTACGTGAGTAAGCCGAAAACATAATAACCCTTTTTGATTACTATGGATTGATTCGATTGGGTGGAAATATAGCTTTTATTTTAAATTCTTGACTGAACTGTTGATCCTTGGTTTAATTTTCAGAATAAGCAAGACATAATATTGAATTTTTTTTTATTATGTCATTCTTAAGAACTGTAGAGCGTTAGAGTTAGGGACAGTGATTACATAGTACACCATAAACGGTTCAAAATTTACTAACTAGCTAATGTTGTTGACCTCTTATTACCCCTTCGTTCTGTCGCGGAGAACCTAACGAGTTACCGGGGCTCCGGCTTGAAGTGCAGGAGAAGGAACGGGGTGGTTTTTAGTCAGTAAGAGTCTGACATTCCCTCCCGCCTCACCCAGGCGGGAGCAGTCATTCGATGAATATACCACCTTAAAAAAGTACCCCTTCGTTCTTAGATATATACGTACTTACTTGTATATAACTACTTCGTAGATACATGTATATATCTGGCGATGAGCCCAACATCGGCATGAATCGTCTACTAACACGTTTTGTTTGTTTGTACAGAGGCCAGCAACAGGTCATCGAGTAGCGGGTCTCGTCGCGGCTCCTCCCCACGCCAGGCACAGGTAAATTTTGTTTCACAAACTTCTATTGTACCGAATCAAGGTTAAAAACGTTTGTAGCCACGTAACGAATGTTACTCGGCTTTCGTGGCTATTTATTTTTACACATTTATTTTTTTATGCAGTTAATGTAAATGTGAAAAGTTACAAAATTGTCGGGATTGAAAACAGCTGGGGTTTAACCATAGCTAGTGCATAAGCCTATGGAATGTCGCGGAGAACCTAACGGGTAACCGGGGCTCCGGCTCGACGTGCAGGAGAAGGAACGGGGTGGTTTTTAGTCAGTAAGAGTCTGACACTCCCTTCCGCCTCACCCAGGCGGGAGCAGTCATTCGATGATTTTCCCCCCTTAAAAAAAAAGCCTATGAAATACTTGAGAATTTTTTAGCTTATTTTTAAATAGAGATGATCAAATAATTTAGTTTCGTGTCTGTACCAGGAGCATGAAACGTGTGACGCGACTGTGCACAAGTCGGACCTGACGCGCACGCGCCCCAACAGCTATGAACGAGAGTATCATGACAAGGTTCCAACCATGGTGGGTATAAACAGTACAATATGCATCTATAGAGACATTTATTTATCAAAATAATATTACATGTTGAACTGGTCTCATTTCACGGTAGACTTGAGACATGAACATGTATCCATCGTATCCATCAGTGCCTACTAATAGAATAACACATGTGTACATGTCACTTGTTTTTAGCATGTGAAATAACTTTTTAAAATTATTTCTGTCTTATTGTGCAAAAAAGATTATCGTGCATCATAATATTTAGTCAATTATATTTGAAGATGTCCTCCACTTTAAATTATTATTAATGGTTTTTAGTGATTTGGAGACATAACTGATTGAAACTGACCAAATTGATTGAGAAATGTTGATTGATTGCTAGAATTATTATTAACAGTGCCGTAGCTACTAAGTCTACCACCTAATACAACACATTTCTACTCAGGCCACGCTCAGCGGCACCGGCGTAGTTACACACACAGCTCCATCGTACGAGGAACAGCGCGCTAACCCGGCGCTGCTGAGTCGAGGCGCGAGTGGCACGCCAGGGGGCAGGAGTGTGCGGGATGATGGATACTGCTCAGCAAGCAGCACGCCTAGAGCATTCGGTATGATTATATAGTCATTTATTAGCGTTTTTTAAGTCTTCTGTTTCGTAAAAGCTTAATGTCGTCTCAAATCCCTCAATTGTCAACGTTCAAAACAGAAGGTTACGTAGAAAGAAAATCTCTCCCTCATATTATATGTATTTCATTGTGGTTTGTGATTTAAGATATTAAGTTCGAATTTCGATCAAATAATCGAAGTTGTCAAAAGACTATTGAAATTTTCATTAATAGCGCGTAGATTTAAATTGTGAAAGGCAACGGTGAAGAATGTATTAATCATCTTGTCGAAATATAGGTGTTACGAATATTATACATTAGTTTGATTAGGATAAGGCAATGATCAATGTTATTATTTAAATTAGTCTGTCAACCTGCACAGGTTATAAAGCAATCATAGAAGAAAATATCTCATAATGAACACTGAGTATCATCTGCAATATTGTCCCACATTATTGCCAATATTTCTTCATTAAACTAATTTAAAAAGTGATTGTAGTCCAATAAATATTGTACCTAGTATCGCAACTGAGCTAGGGAAGGGAAATATATTAAAAACTCTAAGTCCAGTCAGGTGGCGTCCGTTGGACTTGAACGGAATCTTATTGCCACTTCACTATTTATTCCGCCATTCTTGTTTGAGTTGGCGGGAAACTTTATTTAGCGGCCATCTTGAAGTGTCTGTCTATTAATTTTTATTGGCTCAATAGCATATTGTCGTAATGAACTGTTTTGTTGATTTAGCGAACGAGTGAACTTGAATAGTGAGGCTTTAGGTTTTACGAAATTTTCAGCTCATGAATATCCGTTGTTTGCCATACATTCTAGGGTCGATTTTTCCACCTTCATCGGAGGAATAATATTGTCATTTTTGACAATTCTTCCATACTTAAAAAAAGGATGTCAATTGTATTCTTTGATTCTTAAATTCTATCTCTTTTTTTATTTACTGTATTTAACTAAAATTATAGTTAATTTTAAGTTGTTTAAGTAATTTATTCGTAATTGTGTAACTCAATTGTCGCATTTAATTTGAATAAAATTATTTTGATTATAAAAATTATCTGTTGATTCAAAAATCGACCCTATATAAATTCCACAATTTCATTTGTCAAAGTCAAAGTCAAAATCATTTATTTCAATTAGACCTTTTGAACGTCAACAATATAAATTTAGAAGTGAAGCTATTTGCTCATTCCAAGCATTTGGTTTAAATTCTGCTAACACATTCCTAGACAAGGCGCGTGAAGGCATACTTACGAAGATTTTTATTTCATATTAAAAGATCAAACAGTACTCAGTGATTGGTAATCTGAATGCGGTCAGACGGAATACATCCAAACATCTCTCGAGACCAAAGTCTTTTAAGATAGCTATACGAATGATCTATCTATCTTACCTTTTGATTATTTTTATTTAAGTAATACTAGCTTGTACACGCAGCTTTGTCCGCGTTTCCGGTGTATAAAAAGTATCAAGTAGTAAACAATTATCGTCATCATAGTCGGGAACTGAATCTAGTATATAACCAACCATCGCAACTGATTACATATCCAAACTTACTTCTAACTTCATCTCAAATATTAATATAACGTACAAAATTAAAAAAGAACATCAGCATACACCGCGCTGCATCTAATTCACTGAAACTTTAAATTAAAACCTTATCTAGATATAAATAGTGTCTAGATTTAATCAGAGTAGTAGATTAAAAGAAGGTTTCTTCAGATTGCAAACTTTATGCATGTTATTGCTTTGCCAGACTTCATGGGGTCTTCGGACTTTGCTTCGTGTATTAGGATATTAAAATACGTATTCGAAACTGAAAGTTAAACATAGTTTTTAAGTTTTAAATATTACTAATATGGATATCAATAAACATCTTTCTTTCCCCACTGACGTCGATGCGGACGAATTTTTCGACGCTTTATGTAAATAGTTGTTTTTGTTTTTTCTTATAATTAATTTTAATCTTTAGTTGTACCTCAGGTATTTAATTTAGTAATATTTAGTTTTAATTTTTTTTAAGTAATAGTTAGTTTTTAATTTAAGTTTTTTATTTGAATAAATGAATTTATGTTTCTCAATAAATATAATCTTTCAAAATTGAATAGAGAAACTTAGAAAACTTTTGTTATATCTTTTCTTTATAGAGAAGGGTTAGGTACAACAAAACATAACATTTATTTATTTATTAAGGGTTCCCAACATTACGCTTTTTTATCCCCGAACGGGTAGCCAGAGGTGCACATTAGGGCCCTTAAAGCCACTATACAATGTAACACCCACTTTTCACTATTTATGTTATGAGTCCCAAGTAATAGGGGGTGAGTCTAATTGTCATATACTGGGTATGATTCCAGACAACATGTAGCATGGTGTCTGGAATCTGTATCTGTATCTGTATCTGTATCTGTCCTGAGATTTTTTAAAAAAGCCCAGTTATACCGAGAGTTATACTCGTTACCGAGAGTTATACCAGTTATACTCGGCCAACGAGGCAGTCATACTTGATGATTAACAATTATTACTATACAATTTGTTGATTATAAATTGGTATGTTCTAAGATTACAAAGTTACGATTACCCTTTAACTACTACTAGAAATTTTGGGTTTCATTTTCAGGAATTCCAAGGCTTTCGATTCTTATAATTTTCAAATAATATTGTCTGGATTGCACCCGGTCCCCGACAAAAGATACTGTTAACAGTAACAGTATCTTTTGCACAGCCACCTGCCTACCTAGCATTTTAATAAGGGCAGTATTTTTCTCCCATATTTAATTTCAATATTGACTTCGACACATGTCATTGGAATGGACATACAAAACAATAAAGCATATTTTATTACATGCAATACAGAGTCGACCTTGAAATCGTGAACAATCCGATCGCATTTCTCTTTAATTAAATGTTTCGCATCCCACTGCGTTGCATAACCAGTGAAATCGAAATCAATATTAAACAGAATAGTTAACTGAAAAAAATACCACTCATTGTATGAAAATATACGCTTTTTGTGTTTCGAAAAGTGCATTATTATTATTATATGTTGAATATAATTCGCACTTATCGCCAATGTTTTTTGCGTCCCCTGTTTATATTTATTTATTTATTACTGCCTCATTGGCCGAGTGATCGCAAGTTCGATTACCGAGCAAGGGGTCTCGAATTCGATTTCCGGATCGAGCAAAGTATTACTGGATTTTAATAAAAATCTCAGTATTAGCACGGAGTCTGGAATTGCGCCCAGTATATGGCATTAGGCTCACCCCCTATTACATGGAACTCATAAAATAAATAGTGAAAAGTGAATGTTACATTGTACAGTTTGGCATTAAGTGCTGTATGTAATGCGCACTTCTGCCTACCCCTTTAGAAATGAAAGGCGTGATGCGTGTATTTATTGGTTAAAATCCTAGTTTGAGTGATGTTACTAAGAAGTTTACGAACCAAAGAACAATGCCCACCCAACAAAACAATTTGCCCTACCCCAGAAACGAACCAAACATACCTTCAAAGTCACACTAGGAAATCTTCCAACCACTCAACTAAGGCAGTCACCTAACACATTTTAATATCAGAATACCGGTTCATTTCGAACGCACCGTTTTTGAATTCCGATAGAATCCTACCTTGGGATTATTGCGTAAATTTTTCCGCGTCGGCATGCTATTATGGGATACCGATCGGCATGCCAGGACATTATTAAGACCCGCGGTAGGTGTAAGAATGAATGCTATGAGGACAGTATAGCTTCATCTATATGCAAGGCTAAGTGCTTGAATATTGATGAGGTTAAAGTGAAGTTTCAAATACAGACTTTGTGTTCAACTTCTTAGGACTCAATGAGACGGACTAGTAAGGTCAAACGCAGGATTACGAAATATGTATTTGTGCATCGTTTTTGACCTCTAAACACAGTAACTTAGTTCTATTCTATATTACCCTACAAATAGGGTAGATGACTCATTTTTATTTTAATGTCCGTCTGGTAGATTATTTTAAATCATTAGACACGTATTTTTTATTTTCTTACTGAAACGAATACTTTCGACGATATATTGATTTGAAATGTCTCGTGACGTCACTTCTATGTACATTTTATACGTAGAAATGACGTTTTGACCCACTCCTAAACTTTGATTCGTGTTATCTAAGTATCATTTTATTATACAACAAAATAAAGAAATACGTGTCTAATATTTTTTCATTACCTAATTGACGGACTAATTAGATTTTTAATTTTCATGCCCTGTCATCATCCCTATTGCGTAGAAATAAATAAAAGCAGTAGATAACGTTTGTGCATGACTTTTGATTCATTATAAGTATTTCTCATTTCAGACAATAAATCAACGAAAGGCTCAGTTGTCACTTTATCGTGTTACAAGAGTAAGTATGATGAATTAATATTTAAACTATGTAATTAAAAATATGTATCATGTGATAGCAATAGTTTCTGGGCGATCAGTAAACTAACGTGACACGGCTTAAATTTCAGCACAGAAAACAATTTTTATGATTTATTATTATGTTTTCGGCTTACTTCCGTAATAATTTGACGAGGAAGTCGACTAGTTTCAAGCCATACTAGAGGCTTATATTCATGAGCAGCATTTCGCGACCCGCGACGCGGCGACTGTCGTGCTGCTACTTTATATATTTATTTAGTATACTCTTACAAATGTAGAAGATATATAGAAAACATAATAATTTATTTAGTATATCTCACGAAAGTTACAATACAATTTTTTATGATATTATCAAAAGTTAACTACGGCCTACGCCGTAGAGCGCGTAGCGCTTGTTCGTAGCAATATTTAGTAGGCACAATTATTGAAATGTTTCACATGTTTTCATTGTATTAGTATTTCTGCCTTAAAACTGTTTATAAATGATGTTGTTAAAAAGTGTTTTCTCTACAAAATTTAAAAGTGAAGTGTTGGTGTCGGTATTCGCAACCCCTTGAAATATCTTAAAGGGTCGCAACTTTTTACAAGTTTAGATATCTGGCAATCGTTTGTTCTTGTAAATTAACTTAATTTTCACTTTCAGAGGAGCCTAAGATACAAATAGAAGAAGAATGTTTTTATAGTGAGCCGTCGAAAAAACTCAGAACGAATAGTATTAAACCGGGTGAGTTTATTTTATACACATTTACGTCTACATTATTTACGTATGTAGAGGTTCCGTATATCGTTATGTGTAATAATAGAATTGCAAATAAATTCTGGTTTGATTCCAGAAAATAACTTGTAGGGCCTTTTCGCTATTATTAAACTCTTCAATAATCGGATGCTGAAGTTGTATCAGTTGTAAGGACTTTACACATGGTTGTTACTTTCGGTAGTAAATAACTTGATATATTAATAGCATGCACAGTTTAGGTGTATTGATTATCTAGTGACGTCCAGTTCCGTAGTCACTTAGAAGACAAGGCCAATCTGGCATCTAAAAAACTCGGTGTGCTAAACAGAGCGAAGCGGTACTTCACGCCGGGACAAAGACTGCTTATAAATAAATCGCAAGTTCGCCCCCATATGGAGTACTGCTCTCATCTCTGGGCAGGAGCGCCAGCATACCAGCTTGGACCTTTTGACGTGGTCCAAAGGAGAGCTGTAAGACTTGTTGACGATCCTATACTTACGAGCGGTATCGAGCACTTAAGTCTAAGGAGAGATTTTGCCTCCCTGTGCGTGTTCTACCGCTTGTATAATGGGTTATGTTCTGCGGAATTATTTGATATGATGCCCACGGCCACTTTTTATCATCGCACCGCTCGCCATCAACAGGGGGCTCACGCTCACTCATTGGAGCCAAAATGGTCCCGTACAGTTCGGTTTCAGAGGAATTTTCTCCCACGGACCCTCCGATGGTGGAATGAGCTTCCTGCCGTGGTTTTCCCAGTGGGCTACAACATGAGGTTCTTCAAGAGGGCAGTGAATAGGTTTTTTAAGGGTCGGCAAGACGCATGTAATGCCCCAAGTGTTGCAGGCGTACATAGGCCACGGTAACCACTTACCATCAGGTGGGCCGTGTGCGTTTTTGCCACCGTCGTGGTATAAAAAAAAAACTCGTATGTTTTAAATTTTACTGTTCCTTGTTTCCGTATAAAATTAATTCGTTATAGCCGCGGAGAACGTAAAAGGTTACCGGGGCTTCGGCTCGAAGTGCAGGAGTGGGTAGTTTTTAGTCACCCAAGACGGAGAAGCCATTCGATGATTTTGCTCCCTTTACAAAAACGTAATATAATGTTACATTAATATACAAATCACCAGAGGAGGGCGACGGCCGCGAGACGTGGGGTACGGGCGCAGACTTCTTGCTCTCCATCATCGGCTTTGCGGTAGACCTCGCTAACGTGTGGCGCTTCCCTTATCTATGCTACAGGAATGGCGGCGGTAAGTCCAATAAATATAATGTATACTTTTTTATTATTATACCTTGACCTGCTTCATGTTTGTTAATGTGATATGGTTTTAATACCGACTTTGTTTGTATTTGTCTAACTTCTTTTTTGTATTGTCGATGCATGGTTTTTTTTCAATTTTTCATACTTGTCTCATGTGAGATTGTTATTCTAATGCTAATTATTAAAGGTATTCCATTACTAACTATTTTCTTAGTCCGAGAGACATGTATTTTCACTTTTACGTATTTTTGAGACTAACGTCTGTTTAAAGTAATATTAGTAAACAGTTTTATGACATTGAATCAGAGACTTTGTATATACAATTCACCCTAACTCATTTAAAGATAATTGGAGTGATTATTTGTAATATTAAAATAACCGCTATGTACCTCATGCATATGAATATACATACGATATACAGTATACATACCAAAACAACATTTTTTACAATTTATGTCTGTCTGTCTATACTGGCATGACTCAAGAATGGCTGGACCGATTTTGCAAGACTTTTATTTGTAGCTGAAGTACTAAGGATATAACATAGGCATGTAATTTTGGAAAATTGAAACAAAAAAAGATAGGTTCATATCCTACGCGGACGAAATCGCGAGCAACAGCTAGTGGGCCATAAGTATGATAGGAATATCGTTTGTTACCCATTTATTACATTTTAATTTTTCTACAAAATGTCGATTTCAATATTGTTTACACAGACATCTCTAAATATGAAACCAATTCTCCAATCGGTATTAAGTCATTAAAATTCAGAAATCGAATTTTAGAATTACATCGATATAATTGGTACTTGGCGCGTTCGTATTGCTTAACGCTAAACACCGGCCGCTTCTGAGAATTTCTTATTAATTAAGAACACAATATCACTCTCTGAAATGGAATGAAATTATAAATACGAGTAAATTATTCACGTTTAATTAAATCGCTAGTCGATCGTAGCATTAATGTTGGAAACCTTTTCAGTTTTAATTTCTGTAATACTTCTTCATTAAAGTAGTTTTGTTTACTGTAATTTAACCTGTTGATTTAAATATGAAAGTTATATATGTCAAGAGTAATGTAAAATAGTCGTGTTTAAGCACACGTAGCTATCATATATCATCATCATCAACAGCCTATAAATGCCCACTGCTAAGCAAAGCCTCTTCTCACACGGAGAAGGTTTGAGCATTAATCTCCACGCTTGCTCAATGCGGGTTGGCGATTACAAACTTAATAAGGCCAGGTTTCCTCACGATGTTTTTCTTAACCGTTTGTCAGTGGTATCTTGATAATCTTAAAAAGTACATAAAACTTGAAAAAGTCACATTGGTACTTGCCGTTGGTAGGTTTTAAACCTGTACTCTCATGCATGAGAAGCGAGCGTCTTAAACCTCCAGGCCACCACGTCATGTAAGACAATGTTAAAGGTATCATATAACACAATGTTGAAAGTATGCATGCTACGGTGTAGCCTTCGTAGCGTATCGTAGCGCTCATTCGTAGCAGTTTACAAATACCATAATTATTTTTTTATGATTTACAGACTAAAACTCAATATGTTAAATATGTATATCAATATGTTATATCAATATTAATTAAAACTGACCTAAGTACGTTGTACTTTATTGAAACTTAATATTTTTTTGTTGTTTAATTTAATCTGTATTCAGGAGCGTTCTTGATTCCTTACACCCTGATGCTGGTGTTTGGAGCCGTGCCCCTGTTCTACATGGAGCTGATCCTCGGCCAGTACAATCGACAAGGACCTATTACTCTGTGGAAAATATGCCCATTGTTCAAAGGTACAATATCTTACTTTCTAGAAGTTCACTCTACTAAGTCTAGCCAAGAGTACCTATCTGTGAGATCCCATTGAATGTCATTGTTTTACTTAAAAAGACCGCCTGGGATGATAGTAGGCAATTCTTGAAATAAAAGCGAAGATTTTAGTAGAAAACAAAACTCGTGGTCTTAGATTTCGGTAGGTAGTTCAAAGATTTTAGTTTTACTAGAAATGTTTTAATCGAATTTTATCTACTTGGTATCTCATACGTCGAATTGTCTTTAATTTCATTTAACCTTCTTTATAGACCTGTAGATTAATTAAAATTCTATATGAATAATGATGAAATATATGTTTATTTTAGGCGTGGGATTCTGTGCGGTCATGGTGGCATTCTACGTGTCATTTTATTACAACGTTATCATTGGTAAGTGACGGAACATTTTGAATTTTACTTTCCAATAGCACTTTACCACCCGAGCGTACGGCGCGTAAAGAGCCATCAGACTACCACGGATGGGGCCCAATAGGGCTAATGCCGATACGGAGCCGCGGAGAACCTAACGGGTTACCGGGGTCCGGCCCGAAGTGCAGGAGTAGGAACGGGGTGGTTTTTAGTCAGTAAGAGTCTGACACTAGAGGCGTTTCATTCAATGTGTCATTCGATGATATTCCCCCCTTAAAAAAAGTAGCACTTTACTAAAAAGTTCACCTTCTCATGTTACCTTAATAATACAAAAATATAACTGCAACACTGCAGTTGACCTTCTAACTAACGGTGTTTAGAATGAGTTTATCAGTAATCTCAGACTATGATATATAAGATGTATGTATGTATGTATGTATGACGGCCGGCGTTTGGAACTGATCCAAATGTTGAGGGCACGCCACAAACCTGATGTGTTATGAATATCTATCGTTAATATTTACACCTACTCATATATTCGTAATAAATAAATGTTATGAATGTTTAAGGAATGTTAACTCAGTGTATTGTTTAGATAAGTATATGGCGTCGATGCGATTTTAGACAATTTATTTATTATTAATAATTAATTATGTTTTATTATTTTAATTAGAATTAGAAATAATAAAAGTTTGTTGAGAATGTCTAAAAATTCCCCAATAATGACAAGAATGCAAGTTTACTTAAAGGCGTTAATACCTCTACAAGTGAAACAAGAGTGAATTTATTTCTGCAAATAGGCTACAAGGCAGCACTTTTACACGTCAATTTAATATATTACTTCCATACAATGTACTTCTTTTAATCTAGGTTGGGCCTTCTACTTCCTGGTATCATCAGCTCGCTCGGAGCTCCCGTGGGTACACTGTGACAACTCGTGGAACACAGAGCAGTGCTGGGACTCCGGTCGTGTTAATGGTACCAACAGAACTGACGTGCGGTACCAAGGACCTCTGTCTCATTTCACACCAGCTTCAGAATTCTTTCAGTAAGTTTCAATTATTAATTTGTGTAACACGAGGCTTAATAGTTAGGTTTGGGCGCATGCCTTACGGCGGCGAGACATACCACCGCCCAGCTGCGGCCCAGATGTGGCGCAAGGGTCCTTTATTGTCTTCGCTCGGACGCACCCTTAACGGAGTGAAAGCGAACCCCCGCCAACGACAGTGGACAACTAGCCGCGAGAGCGCATAGCCGCAATTCCGCGAGGCACCCAGTTACATTAACTAATTTTAAGTTAACCCCTGTTTGTGTAGTTTTATAGACACCTGTTCAGTTACTATAGTTTTCGCGCATTCGAACCTCATTTTCATCTCACACCCTGACGTAGAGGCTGCAATATAAAGCCCAATGTAACATTTGTAATTTATTTCGGTATAATGTGAACTATACAAACATATTTGTATGCACTAAATGGTTTTTACTTATAGATGGTTACTTAGTCCCTGTTTGTCTAATCACTATAGCTGTCAAAAATGTACGGTTCAATGTTTGTAAACGTTTATTTCACACTACGATGTTCTCCTGTGTCATTTTGCATCATTTAGGAACATACAAATATACCTCTAATATACAATACCTACATTCGGTTCCAGATCACGCAAATATTTTTTTTGCGAGAATTGAGCCTGTTACTACAGCCGGCTAGTTTGAAAGCCCTAAACCGTGTCGCGGAGAACCAAACGGTTACCGGGGCTCCGGCTCGATGTGCAGGAGAAGGAACGGGGTGGTTTTTAGCCAGTAAGAGTCTGACACTCCTATCCGCCTCATACAGGCGGGAGCAGTCATTCGATGATTTTCCCCGCTTAAAAAAAAAAGCCCTAAACCGTGCTGTCGGTACTGAATAACTTATTTAATACTTTTTCAAAATTTCCGAAGAGTGTCGTGAGACGATTTATCTATCTAACATCTCAGACTAAACACGAAGATATGTCTAGAACTTAAGAATGAAACCGCTGCCAGTTCGACCGCGGCCGGCATAGTTTACCGTCTTCCCTCAACTTATTAAACCCTGACATTGTAAAGAAACTATTGATCAAGTAACTTTCGCATTCCGTACTCATTGTCCTGTATCTTCTATGAAACCTTTGATTGGTTTGCTACACGTGGCCCAATCACAATTGGGGTTATTGACTGTTAGTGTCAAACGGAGCCAATCATTGTTGTTTCCTTTGCATCCGGGTCAAAGAAAAGATCCAATCAGAGGGCTCAGGAAATTGGGCTATTGCCAAAATATGAATGTAATTTGTATAAGGTTAAGGTAAGCAGATTTTGATGGGAATTTGATTTTTTGCAAGCTTTGGGTTATTTCAATGACAAGGAAGGATGTATGGAACTTTGAAACTCTTTCCTATTCCTATTTTTAGTTTAGTGATCGCATGTGTACGTGTTTTGAATTCGTTAATTGTATCAGGCTAGGAATTTCGATTTGGTATCCTGCCCATACAGACAATCTAGTTAAGATTTCACTTGATAAAAAACTCGAAAAGCTAAAACCTAAGGATCGAAACCTAGACTACGGATGTGTTGACTGGGATTTTTGACCACTAGATCACGATACATATTTCATTATTTTGTTTTAACAAATTAAAAATTACTTTCAGTCGAGCAGTTCTTGAAATGCAACATTCAGAGGGCTTGAACGACCTTGGTTTTCCAAAATGGCAACTTGCAATCTGCTTGGGATTGGTCTACGTCACTCTCTACCTCTCCCTCTTCAAAGGAGTGAAGAGCTCTGGTAAGTACGGTTTACATTTACCATTTTATTATACAAGACAGTCTCGACAAACTTAACATATCTTCAACCTTATCTTTTTGTAACAAAGTTTACAATCTTTTATTGAATTCCTGAAATAGCAAATGGCTTTAATTGACTTGAGAATCGATTTGACTGAGCAAAAGCTCGGTTGCCAGTTTTATTTACAGAGCGTGTATTATAAAAATAAGGCATTTTTATAGTAATTAATTGCCAAACCTAATTTCCTTGACATCTTCAGGTAAGGTCGTATGGATGACGGCAACGATGCCGTACGTGGTACTGTCCATCTTGCTGGCTCGAGGACTCCTGCTTCCTGGAGCTACAAGGGGCATCGCTTACTACCTGCAGCCAGAACTTACCAGGCTGAAGGATACACAAGTGAGTTATAAAATTATTATTGAATAATGTGGGAGAGTCATGCTTCGGCACAAATGGGCCGGCTCGACCGAAGTGATACCACGGCCTCACAGAAAACCGACGTGAAATCACGCTTGCGTTGTGTTTCGTCGTGTAAGTGTGGTTAGCCTTCCCACAATCTCTCCAAACGAATTCCACAAATCCCCAAAAATCCTCAAATTTCTAATTCACAAAAAGCCGGTCACGCACTTGTAACGCCTCTGGTGTTCCAGGTGTCCATGCTAGACAATCGACACTAGTTGATATGATGATATGATTCGTATTGCTTCCAGGTATGGGTAGACGCTGCTGTTCAGATCTTCTACTCGGTCGGAGCTGGATTTGGAGTTCATCTGTCTTATGCCAGTTATAACACTTTCCATAATAATTGCTACAGGTATAATTTTTTAACAATATTTATTACTATTAACGTACTATTAGTCGAAGTACTGATTTAAAATCTATTCCAGGGACTGCTTGGTGACTACGTTGGTGAACTGCTTCACCTCATTCTTCTCCGGGTTTGTAATCTTCACGTACCTCGGCTTCATGTCCCACAAGCAAGGAGTGCCGATATCATCTGTCGCCACCGAAGGTAAGGTATTCCTTTAACTTATATAAATATGGCAAAAATACTAATTGCATATAATTCTCGGTTCGAAATACGAAGGTCGTTGCAAGAATCATGACAAATTATAGATTTTCTGATTGATGTCTGTCTGGTTGATGTCAGGATAGTACGTAACACATCCTGGTATAAACTCAATCCTGAACTTATTTAAGCCTATTCTCAACTATTTGATTCAAGTTGATGAGCTAGTTTAAGAGCGATTGCTAATTAGTTATTGATATGCTTTTGTTTCAAGGTCCGGGGTTGGTGTTCCAAGTGTATCCAGAAGCTGTTGCTACTCTGCCAGGGGCAAGTCTCTGGGCCATGCTCTTCTTCTTCATGCTTATCATGCTGGGATTAGATTCAGGGGTGAGATAGAAATTGTACTACCATTGTTTACATTAAAAATTGTCACGTGTTGTTCCTGTTTTTTTTATCAAACGTTTTTCTGATAGATATCAAACGTGATAAAAGTACTTTTAATAAGAACTGCTTTCTATCAATTGTATCTTCCTTAAAACTAACCTTCACGTAATGTCTGTATTGTTTAGTACATTAATGTTATCATCCAGGTCTGGAACACGTAATAAATCTCCACTGTGTTCCAGATGGGTGGTCTGGAGTGCGTGATAACTGGCCTGCTGGACCAGGCTCGTGCCTGTGGCGCCACCTGGTTGAGACGGGAGCACTTCACACTGATCGTAGTCTGCGTGTCTTTCTGTGTGGCCTGTATCAATGTTACTCCGGTAAGGAAATTCAAATTAGGAGTTTATTATCTAAAACAATGACTTTTGTGAAAACAATTAACAGGTATTTATTCTATTTATTGGTTCCAGTAGTTCATGGTCTTGCCTTTAATTTTTTTTTCTGGAATCATTCTTGTTACGTAACATGATTGGTTCGTATCTTTCCAGGGTGGTATCTACATGTTCCACCTGCTGGACACCTACGCTGCTGGTATATCCTTGCTCTGCTCTGCGCTCTTCGAAGCGGTGGCTGTCTCCTGGTTCTATGGTAAAACTGTTTTTATTCTTTACTTATTTTGAACTTAATCATTGAGGGGATAAAAGGTACGCTATCCGTTCAAAATTGTTACAGACTAATTTTTTTTATCTATTTGTAGGGTTGAAGCGTTTCTCTGATGATGTGGAGGAGATGCTCGGCTTCAGGCCTGGTATATACTGGAGGATATGCTGGAAATTCGTCAGCCCTACTTTCATTATTGTAAGTTACATTTTAGTTATTCATCTGCCGTATATGCCTTCTATCTTTGTGCCATATGTGGGCAAAACAAATCAATCTCAATTATAGATTTTGGAGTAAATCGATTATTGGCCTCTGTACCTAAGTCCTATCGAGGTTTTTTGTGAAAAATGTAGGCCGATGCAAAGATTTCAGAACAGGATCTTCGGCTGTTAGTTAACTCGATTCATTTACCATCAGTCTATCATCTCTCTCAAAGGAAATGAAGTCGTTATTATTCCTGTTTCCATCGCCAGGGTGTGGTGGTATTCGGTCTCCTGTACCAGCAGCCGCTGCAGTACCAGCACTACACGTACCCGCCGTGGGCCGTGGTGCTCGGCTGGGGGCTCGCCTGCTCCTCCATACTCATGATACCTATCGTCGCCATCTACAAACTCATCTCCACTCCTGGGACTTTCCGACAGGTATTGTATGACAGGAAATGAATTAAGTAAATTAAACAAATTGAGGTAAATATGTCGCAAGTGCAACTTCCGAGCAAGGGGTGTCGGGTTCGATTCCCAGGTCGGGCAAAGTATTACTGGGTTTTTTAAGAAAACTCAGTAGTAGCACGGAGTTTAGAATTGTGCCCGGTATATGACAATAGGCTCACCCCCTATTACATGGGACTCATAATTTAAATGGTGGAAAGTGTGTGTTACGTTGTACAATGGCATTAAGTGCCGTAATATGCGCCTCTGCCTACCCCTTCGGGGATAAAAGGCGTGATGTAATGAGGTAAATATAAAAGTTACCTAACTACTACTGGTACTAGTACTACATAAGTTTTAAACAATGGTCTTGAGCTTTTGAATAAAAAAAAGCAATAACAGTGGATATAAAAATGGCTATGTCTAACTCACCTAACTTTGAATATTTTTTATGGCTTAGGGTAGAACGGTAAACTAGGAGATAGATCACCTGATGGTTAGCACTGGACGCCACTCATGGAAAAATTCGAACGTTGCTTAGAAATCAAAATGAGTATTATGTTCGAACTTTACTTAGCAACTGAAATGAGTATTTTCTGTAAATGTACAGAGAGAGGCCAGTATTGCCACAAGATGCTGATAAGTGATATTTCCAAAAAGACGGAAAGATGTCGAGAATCTTAAGTCTTTGACTGCCAATAGAAAACTGTTCCAAATCCTCCGCCAATTTCGGTTACCGGTAACCCCATGGCGTATGATGTGTTAACTAAAATTATTATTATTATTTCTACTTCCAGCGCCTAGCATGCTGCATATCGCCGGAATCTGAACATGAAGCTATTCGCGGTGGCGCTCCAGTCAGCCGGTTCTCTTGGAAACACTGGCTGTACGTCTAAGAAGAATCTAGTTGTAGACTATTTTAGGATCGATGGTTAAAGGAAGGTTTCCCTTCTTTAAAGGGCGTATTTGAAGTGGAGAAATGTGGTGAAGAAATATGAATATCGTATTTCTATAATGTTGTAAACTTGGCTCAAAATATTTAAGTTAAACTCCTGTTTTGAGCGTATCTGCAATGTTTATTCAAGAATCTCTGATGTAAATGTTAAAATTATGTTTTGTTGTACTTTTTTATTGTATCGAAAATCATCGTCGTCAACAATAATTATATTTTTTAAGTTTATCGTCGAAAGTGTGCGGATAATATAAAACTTTGTCATTTCAATATGTCATTGTCTATAGTGAGGTGCAGTGGTTGTCAAAGTTTTGAAAAAGAACGTAAGGTTCTGTATATATTTTTATTGTAAGATATTTAGCTAATTTTAATTAAGTTTAAACTCGTTTTCGTAGTTAAATGTGTATCTTTAAAGTAGTGATGTTGTAAACTTCTAATGTCGTCCTGCCAAATCAGTTATCAAAATGTAATAATATTACTAGAAAAATGCATCAAATTCTGTTTAAAATATGCCTATGCACAGGCCTAAAAATAAAAGTATAGTTATTATATTATTGTTAAAAACATAAAATATTTATTTGTATACCTATCAGAATATGAATATTGATAGATTAATGCTACTTTGAGAAAATGTGTAACGTAGTTTAAATTAAGGGTACCTAGAAACTTTAGTGTAGAAAAATATGCTAAGTCTCTTTTACTTTTAATGAGTTCATACTCAACCTTACTCCAATATTAGATAAAGGTTTTAAAATAATTGGCTGTACACATTTTTAAGTCTATAAGAATAGAGATTGAGAGTTTTCTTACTTAACTATCAAGTTAACTTTTTGGGATCATCAAATAATAAACGAACATATAAGTTAAACTTATTTGCTCCGCTATAAGGTTGAGAATCGCTGCTATCTATATAATCTTAACAGTTATATTTAAACGTATGTAGAAACCTTTACCCTTAGATACGCTTAAAGTTAGAAATTAAGCATATTTAAATATTCTACGTCCTACACTGGCTGGACCAACTTGCAAACAAATCTGTGACAAGCACAATAATTTTGTATATAAAATATATATATCTTTATATACGTATACCTGAGAGATGTACACTCGTGTATCTAAAATTATACTGCTTTTATTAGTGTATGTAATTTCATAAATATATTTCTATAACTTTAATCTTGTAGGGACGCCTGTAGCTCGCTATGATTAAGCTATCGTATTTGAGTGTAAAAAATGCTGAACTTCGTCAAAACGTTATGCTGTTTGTTGTTGAAAATTGGCAACCCTAAGTAAAGATTTCAGTAAAAAAGTTTAATGGTTCCGAAAAGGCGAAAAATATCAAGATATTTTATACCAAAGTCTAGTAAGCAAGTTGCTACTTTTATTTATGATGGTCTAATACTTACAAAATCATCATCATTCCAATAAAAACATTTTATGATAAAAACTGTTGTTCGTTTATTATTAGACAATTTACTTATTTAACTCGCGTCCTACAAACGTTTTCTTAAATAACCATTTATCGTATCTCTAGAAAAAATAAAACGAAGATTAAAATAAATGTAATAAATATCTACTTAATAAATTAAATTATAAATAATAATATTATATTTATAAACTTGAATGTGTATCGAAGGCAATGCTCCGGGCGAGTAAAAATAATTAGATATTGTAAAAATGTAGTCTTTGTGTTGTTCATATCAAATAATACATATGTGTGTAGTTTTTAATAGTAAATGTAAATAATGATTTTATTATTATATTGATTTGTCTGCAGCAGATAATGTTAATGTAAACTGTGTTCATTTATAAATAAATGTGTTAGATAACTTTGTTATTTTGATTCTTCCTATCTTTAGATACTTATCCCTTATAGTACATTCATTCTACTGCTGCAAAGTAAATGCAGAAATAGGTATTGTTCAGGGTTGTGGCGCCACATATGCCATATCAATTATACGGTACCCCGCCAAGCCACGCTATGCCACTAGTATCTAAAGAGTTAATAATAGTTATATTGTAAAGAGCAGTGAAGACGTTCTCGTTCTTCTTCTCCAGAAGAACCTAGCTACAACGACTTTCATAAGTAGGCCCTTGATCGTAGGTATTCATTAATAAACTCTAAATCCACGAGAAATTAATGAATGTAGAGGATGTAAACATGGTATGCTTGGAACGTGCTACGTACCGTTCCATTGTCTCTACCTATTACCTACTCCAATGGGAGATAAGCGTGATGATGCCTATCTGTGTATATGTAAGTATATAAGCAACTATGTAATCTATTGAATATAAACTCGTAATCGTGACACATTGCACAGTAACCGGTCTCATAATCTGACGATTATGTGACCGTTTGCCAGTCATGGCTACTGGACAACATATCGTAAGATCACGCAATCTCTTCGAGTTTGAAACTAACAAAAGTGATTCCACACTTTTTTTATTAGCTCTCGAGCAATTTTCCACATATCCAATATCACAATAGGAGAAAAAACCATGTATATTGTCTATGGGTGACATTTACATTTCCATTACGCGCAGAAATATTATCAGGAATTTTATGAAAATATTCAATTTTATCGATGATAGAAAATCTTATGGTTATTTTAAAGATAAATCTATTTAAATATTTTATGTTTAATCATAAAATATCAGTTTAAATAATAATTTGTATTTCTAAATGTCTGATACGGAGTTGTAGATTTCATTGTAATAAAAATGTTCTGATTTCAGAAACGCACTTTAAATGGCAGGCTTGTCATGTTGATTTCGATATTCCGTAATTTATTGGCGTAGAGAAATGACTCTTATAATTTATTCCTTGAATTAAACAAGGAAATAGTGTACTATAGACGAGAAGTGGCGTTGTGCGTTCAAATAGTGTATGTGTCAACCGTTAATAATCAAATCTTCAAGTAATAAATATCAAGTTGTCACTAATAATATCTTTGAATCGATTTATCTACGGAAATAATCTTGAGTTTGCCGTGAATATATTATCGTTATGTCAACAAAGTAATGAGCTAATCGTTTTATTAAGGTAAGACCTTTTGGACGCCGTAAATTTCGTAACTATTTAGAGAAATCGAATCGTTTAACAAATCTGTTGGTGCGGGTCTTGTTTATATTTTTTATGTCGCTCAAATCACTTTCAGTCTTATCTTTGTGCTGTCAACTAAGATCAGTGTATTATATACACCATAAAAATTAGTTGTTCGTCATAATTATCATTGTATTTTCGTGTTTAGGAGTGAAAATGTCGCTCGAACGCGATAGTGTGGGCGGAGTGCCCAGTGTGGGAGATATACGAGGTGTAGTGGGCCCTACAGCGGGAGGCGCTGCTGCAGACCCTCGGTCCCAATTGCTACAGGAGATGAGGGAGCAGAACTTTGACTTGATCAGATTTGCCTCATACAGGACTGCCTGCAAGCTTCGCTATGTACAAAAGAAATGTAACTGTGAGTAATGTACTGTTAAAATATAACATTCTATTTTTAAAAACTATATTACTTTTTTCTTTAGTGTCTAAATTCATTTTATCACATAGGTGGGAGAGCAAATAGGTACAATTATCAACTGACAACTTTATTATTTTTTATTGGTTTAAATTGGTGTTTATTGCCAACTAGATGTGATGAAACCATGCAAGAGAATAATTGTTCCAGAAAAATTAGTCATGATTATTTTTAGTTGATATGGGGAAAAGCAATTGAATATATTTAGACTAATGTTCACTCCCAAGTCTTTTATAAAGTGATTTATTATCTGTCTTAATTTGGAATATGTTTTATAGAAATCAAAACACTGATTTCAGTCACATGAATAAATCTTTATACCTCAGATAAATATATAATATTGTTAAATAGAGTGATTCTGTGTCAGATGACTATCTCTTGATTAAATGCAGAAACATTTTAATCAAAACTTGTTGTAACTAAATCTTTTACCTCACACAAATGTTAATTATGGGCCAAATTAAAAGTACCCCTACCCGACGAGCATCTATTATGTTATGTTTGTATGTAAAGGTTAATTAAATGTCAAATACAAATCTATAAGTATCTTCTCCAGGTAATGGCACATTTTAGTATATTCTCTAAACTTTATCTTATATCTCTTTCAGTACATGTAATAGACATATGGAATGTAATAGAGGCCTTCCGTGAGAATGCTCTCAATACTCTAGAGCCAACCGCTTGTGTGAATGTGACGAGATTGGAAACCCTTGTGTCTTCTCTATACCACAACTTGAATAAGAGACTGCCGCCTGCTCATCAGGTCTCCGTCGAAGCATGCTCCGCATTATTGCTGAACTGGTTGCTCTCCGCTTACAGTACTGGGTGAGTTTTGTATGTGATTATAGATTTTTATTTTTAACCCTTTGAGTACTGTCATTATAGACACAATTAAAGAACAATAGGTTGCGGTCACCGGTGTCCTTGCAGTGTTTGACAATTTAACAGTAGATATTTCAAAAATGGTGTCTAATATAAGAACTAAGAACATCTTTACAGGCTCATAAAAGAGGTCTTGTCATGTAGTATTTTGGCCTACTTATTTAGTTCTAAGGCTGAGAGGTAAAATCTGTCTTGTAATCCATTTTGACATTCATTGTATTAAGTTTCTGTTAAAAATATGTCCATCCAGAGATTTTGGATAAAGACAGAAATAAATTTTAAAAGATTTAAAATTCTTGTGTTGTGCATTCCTCCTTTCTTTCAGAATTAGCATTGATAATTTTAAATTAAAACATCACTATTTATGCTCTTTTGTAACTAGCTACTAAAACTATAATATAACTTTAAATGAGTTTATACTCCTGAGTTATTATTGTAGAGGCCTATGTCCAGCAGTGGACGAATACAGGCTTATGATGATACTCCTGAGTTATGTATAGTGGTCAGTAGGTCAACCTGGGTTTCTTCAAGAAAGAAGTAAATATGTTTATAAAGGGTGCGCCTTGTGCTTTTCTTGCCACCATTGTGGTATAAAAAACCTATCTTTTCCTGTCAAATTTTTCTATTCCACCTGCAACTTTATTTGATTGACATAAAGTCGAAAATCCAATGAATTAGGAGTAGGTTCATTTGCTGGCCACTGTACTTCAAGATTTGCCCTTCAAATTAAATAATTGAGAAGTTATGCTGAGCTCATTAGCATATTCTTACAAGTATTGTAATTAACATTGTGCACATAGTGACGTGCATTGAACAAAATGATAATTATTATTATTATTCCATACAAGATCGTTTGTTTTTTCATTCTTTAAGTACTTACTTAGTCTTTGTTCTTGCATGTTTTATTAAGTTAAGTAGGTATTAAATATACTGCCTTTTGAAGTCATTTAATAAATATTGACTATATATAATGTAAATGGAACGCCCCCGGAACGCCGACAAAAAGAAATAGTTTTACAATTTTAATCATTTTTGTTTTTCGTGTTATTCATGCTACATCACCAGCTATTATTACATAAAAGAAACACTTATCTCATAAAATTTATGAAAATAAAACTTGGTTTTTACCATCACCTGTCGGCGCTTTTCGTCAGCGTTCCGTATATACCTACTCCGAATACATACTAAAGTCATGCAGTTAATTCTAAAGACGTGCTAATTCCATAAAGTTAATCAGTTCTTTCTATCTTATTTATAGGGCAGTAAACATTATAATGAAACACCAGACACCATTTCAGACTATATTTTAGAGTTTTCGAAACCCAAGCAATGTTAGTACAAGCTGACTGCAAAAAAAAAATGTTGCATTGTGACCGAAACAAATCCCAGATTTCATGCTTTCCAGTGACAACAACCACTTTAACCAAATGACATTATATTTTTGATTTCAGGGATAACGTTGGTAAAATTCGAGTGTTTTCAATCAAAGTGGCTCTCGCAACTATGTGTGCTGGCAAGCTGATGGACAAATTGAGATGTAAGTACACCATTTTATAGTAAAATTCAAGATCAAAGTCAAAGCCAAGGCATTTATTTCAATTAAACCATATTTGGTACTTTTGAACCGTCAACAAATACAAAATAAATAATAGTCTGTCAGTCAGTCCGTCAGTGAAGCTAGGTGGAGTTAGGTGCTCATTCCATAATGTAGATTCGAATGGAGAAGAATTAGCAAGAAACTCCATTCGTTACTCTTTTTTTGATCTCTGCAAAAATGCCTTTTACAAATACATATCAACCTTATTCATACAACATAAAGATGACTTCACACAGTTATCACAGTTAAAATTAAGATCTCTGCAGAAATGCCGTTTACAAACAAATATCAACTTTATTTTACGCTACATAAATATGATTATTAAAATGTCGTGGTGGCACGGAGGTTTAAGATGCCCTCTTCTCATGCACGAGGATGCGGGTTCGAAACCTACCAACGGCAAGTACCAATGTAACTTTTTCCGAGTTATATGTACTTTCTAAGATTATCTAGACACCACTGACAAACGGTGAAGGAAAACATCGTGAGGAAACCTGGGTTTATAACAAGCGTGGCGATTAATGCTCAAACCTTTTCTGTGTGAGAAGAGGCTTTGCTCAGCTGTGGGCATTTATAGGCTGTTGATGATAAATTATGAATCTAGAAAACTTGATTCATTTTAAACACGAAATTAGTAATATTTTTATTTCCGTCTGGGTTTCTCTACACCCAAATTGCATAGGTACTTAAATACATACCCAACAGTCCAAGTTGGCTATAAGATGTATCCAATGAGTCATTAGCAACAATTTGCTAATGACTCATGGAATAGCCGAGATCATTTTAGGATCAGTAAAATGCAGAGAGTAAACATATTGCTGATGACAATCATGACTCATGATTTGTATTATGGCCTTCGTGTCGCATAGTCTAATGGTGTGACTATGGTACGTCTGTTAATTATAGGTAACTAGTCGGTTTTAGTATTGTAGAACGATGACTGTAAATCGAGTTGTTCAATGCAAATTGTTTTTTAACAGATAGGAGAGCTTAAAATAAATAAATTTTAATAGTGAAACAAGTGAATTTATTTTTGCAAATAGGCTACAAGGCAGCACTTTTACACGTCAATTTTATCGAGCGAATGATGAGGCCGACATTTCCTAACTGACTACTCTGAGAAGAAATGTCGAAATAAACTCAGAGGTCTGTCTCTTTTAAAGTCCAGACAAATGTGTATAAAGATAATGATTACAAGATTACACATTTTATGAAAAAAAAAGAACAAGATTAGTTCGAGGACTATTTCAGAGGTCTGTAATCTTATGCCACTGTCATAAAATAAGGCATTTTTTTAAGGGGGGAAAATCATCGAATGACTGCTCCCGCCTGGGTGAGGCGGAAGGGAGTGTCAGACTCTTACTGACTAAAAACCACCCCGTTCCTTCTCCTGCACGTCGAGCCGGAGCCCCGGTTACCCGTTAGGTTCTCCGCGACATAAAATAAGACATAGGGCATTGTCTGTTATAGCATTGCTAACTTTATTTGTAGTCATCATAAATAGACGGCCTATTATTGTACCGGACTTTAACCGTCAGTGGCGCCACCTAGTAATAGAAAAACTGGCGACGTTCTCGACAACGCACTTGTAACTCTAATGTAGCAATGCAACACGTTCTATTGTAAGGATGTTGCAACAGTGATGATCCGCTGGTATTTAATACTTCTAATTAATTTTTAGTTAATTTAAAATATTTTATATAAATAAGTTTGGGCTACGATGGGACTGACGTAGCCTATTGGTTAAAAGCCCCTAAAATAAAATAGATTATAAAAAAAAACTCTAATGTAGCGGATGACCAAGAGCGGCACTAATTGCTTGCTACAATAAAGTCATTTCTATGTTAGCCATCAATAATATTTAACATAAATTTCTCTCCACCAGATATATTCTCTCAACTATCGGATGGCAATGGTCACCTCCTGATGAAGAGACTATCAGACTACCTACGAGAGGTGCTCGCCCTCCCGGCCGCGGTGTACGAGTCACCCTCCTTCAGCTATACGGACTCACTCGCACTCACTATATTTAATCAGGTGAGGATTTTGTTCATTTTCTAAAGAGGATTTTGGGATTATTTTGAACATAAAGAAAAGTATTTGACTTACTAAAGTTAAGGGCAGTTGCCATACATTATTGTGTGATTATAATATGGCTAGATAAATAATCTTATTTATCTCTCCATCTGGAGTTCGCATTTTTATACTTATTTTTATCCAGTCATGTTGATCTCAATTTGATCTGTAAATATCATTCCTTGCTTATTTTGTTTAAGTACCTACCACCCGCTACCGAATCCTTAAAGGCTACTCAATTTTAAATTGACTTTAATATAGTGCCATCTCTGTCATTTTACACAGAATTTGTAGTGACAGAAGTAGGCTTAGTTTGAGTATTTGGACATAAGCCAAATATAGTTTATCTCCTTGTATAAAAATGCGAAGCAAATTAAACCTTATGCCCTTTTCTAGAATGGTAAAATCACTGTGAACGACTTCCTTGACACACTTATGTCGGACCCCGGCCCGCCCTGCCTCGTGTGGCTACCGCTACTGCATCGACTTGCTAGCGTTGAAAATGGTACGTATCTTTTGTAATAATAGCATAATAATGCAGGAACAGCGTACTAAAATAGTTATGTACTAAAATTGATTAAAAAAATTGAGTTCAAGTTCGCAATTACGATGAAATATGTATTAAAAATAGGCTGATTATCTGCATTATAAAGTAATTGGAATTCGAATAACAAGTTGAATGGTCCTCCACGGCCTACTAATCATAAAGTCAAAGCATTTATTTCAATTAAACCATAATTTGGTACTTTTGTAACGTCAACAAATTTCTGCATAGTTAGTAAAATTTTTGAATCTGTTTTGCGTCTATTTGGCTATTAGAGATAGAAACTTGGCATGTTTTATATGGAGTTTATATTAAAATGATCAGCACATACTGAAGAATCTTAATTTACCGCGAACCTTATCATTTTTAACTCGATTTGCGCAGATATTTAACCATATAAAAATGAATGTGTCCTAAATTGACATTAACCCTTTTCTCTGTCCAGTGGTCCACCCCCTAGCATGCAGTGTCTGCCGACGCAGTTCATTGACCGGGTTCCGGTACCGTTGTACTCGCTGCGCCAACTATACAATGTGCCAGGACTGTTTCTGGAGGGGCAGGGTCTCCGCCACACATACTAACGAACATGAGGTCAAGGAATATGCCGCCTATGTGAGTATCGAGTTTATTTTATCTGTGTATCAGTTATAAGACATGACCAATGACTATTTTTATGTAAGTACTCATGAATTTTCCCTTTGTGCAATAGTTTTCGAAGTTTCGCAAGGGGTCTAGTTTTGCGCTTTAGGGATATTGTATATTCAGTGGAAGGTCAGTAGATGAATCGGGATAACACTTAATAAATGAGATACGTGTTCATGTAAACTGTGTTTAATTACGACTGAACTTACGTGGCGGGCGCAGCCGCCTCTACACACCTATACACGCACACTCACAACTACATATCTAAACACATACATTCCTGTTGTCCCTACATGCGCAAGTAATAAATGTATAATATATAACATCACGCCTTTTATCCCCGAAGGGGTAGGCAGAGGTGTACATATGCCGCTGTACAATGTAACACCAATTTTTCATTATTTATGTTATGAGTCCCATGTAATAAGGGTTGAGCCTATTGCCATATACCGGGCACTATTCCAGACTTCATGCTACTACTGTGATTTTTTTTAAAAACCTACTAATACTTTGCCCGACCCGAATCGAACCCGAGACTTCTTGTCCGGCTGTCGCACTTGCGACCACTCGGCCAATAAGGCAGTCATAAATGTATAATACATACAATTTTCTATAAAGTGTTAAATGATGGCGTAAGATTTTTAACTGCCCATTTGTTTTAAACTCGTGAGGCAACATGTTATAAAACTCAACACGTTCTCAACAGAAACTTACTAATAATTTTATTTTATTGTACTTGCTTAACAGTAAGTCTCAATACTAATTATTCAAAATAATAAAGACTCAATCAATTATAGATAAATTATTTATTAATCTAACGTGTATCTACCTGCAGAAATCTCCATCGAAGCAGATAGGTGCGACTCTACGCAAGTCGTTCCGTTGCGTGCCGGAGCGTGCGCGTGCGCAACTGCCGCGCTACCCCGACCAACCGGAGCGGACGCTCAACCTCAGCCACATTGTGTTAGTACACTTACATTACTACTTCATAGTACACCTAATTGCAATAAAAACTCAGTATGAAAATTAGGGCTTTAAACACAGAAACTGTTTCAGTTCGTTTAAGTCAATAATTTTTAAACTCCAATTCTCAATTATGATTAACTCAGAATGAGATTTAAATGTAAGTAACATAAGTGCTTTTTGTTCTATGATTCTAATCTAATCTAGGCCTTTAGCCAAACGCCACTTTAGCGCTTGTCTACAGAGAGAGTAGAAATCATAATGTATGGGGATGACACTGACAAGTGTCAAAATTTACGTCAATTCCATATAATTTGGTTTTCTATTCTACATGAAGACAAGCGCTAAATGGCATTTGGCTACAGCTGCTATTTGGGTACCCCTTAAAAGAAGGCTTTTTATTCATAAGCAGGTTACCGTGTGACTATAAATACTTCTTTTGGTCCAGTTCCCAGTCCTAGTAGATATTTTCAGAATAAATTTACATCAAATCTTGTATGTTTATATATTAGGCCACCATCTCCAGTGCCGGCCCACAATGGGTTCCCCGAGTACGTGGGTGGGTATGTCAACACCGGATCTCTGGACTCTAGGTCGTCACGGTCCACGCATCGCAGTGAGTATTAATGTTAAGTTTTATACCTACTTAGTATTCTTTACTACTTTCTTATCTTTGTGTGATCAACATATTGTTGTTCCGGGTCTGGGTGTGATGTGTATGTGAACTAGTATGTTTGTAACATACCCAGGACACAGGAGGAAATCCTTGTGTGGGACAACGTGCACGTTAAATGCCATGGGGGTCACCAGCGACCTACGGTAACGGAGGACTTGCCTTCAACAGCTTTCTAGTGGCAATCAAAGGAATAAAAAACAATCTAGACTTGACTTTATTTAAGAGCGTTAATCATTCAATTTAATAGTTGTATTCTTTATTTAGAAGAAATGTTTAAAAGTCTTTTTCACAATGTTGACTTTTAGGACGTATGTAGGTTAAATCATACACTATGATAACTCCCCCGTTTGTCACAAATATATTTTTGATATGTTTTGTTCTAAGGTATAGCAGAGCACCTATCTCGCGGTGTTGACGACGAGCACCGCCTCATAGCGCGGTACGCCGCTAGACTGGCACACGAGAACAGGACTATGGTATGTAGCATCATAATAAAGTCAAAGTCAAAAATCAAAATCATTTATTTCAATTAGGCCAGAATGGCACTTTTGAACGTCAACAAAAGAAAATTAAAAGTGAAGCTATTTGCTCATTCCTATGGAGAAGAACGAGCAAAAAACTCCATAAGTTACTCTTTTTCAATCAGGTTCACAATACAATTTACTAGTTACATAGTTTTGCTATAATTAACGTGTATATTATTATACTGTAACATAACATAACATAACGCCTTTTATCCTCGAAGGTGTAGGCACATTACGGCACTTAATGCCAATGTACAATGTAACATTCACTTTTCACTATTTAAGTTATGAGTCCCATGTAATAAAGGGTGAGCCTATTGCCATATACCGGGCACAATTCCAGACTCGTGCGTGTTACTACTGAGATTTTTTTAAAAACCCATTAATACTTTGCCCGACTGGGAATCGAACCCGAAACCCCTTGCTCAGCAGTCACACTTGCGACCACTCGGGCAGTTGTAGCATAATAATGAATATGTATATTGTTAATTTGTTATACTGTAATATTATTGTATTGTTAGTATGTTCTTAACATATTATGTAACGTGTTTTTGCAGCCAAGAGCCGGCAGATCAGCGTCTCTTACTCCAGAACTGGTCAGTATAAAGATCCAATTTAGAAATCTTTAGAAGATCAGTACTTGCTATTTAGAAATCTTTAGAAGATCAGTACTTGCTATTTAGAAATCTTTAGAAGATCAGTACTTGCTATTTAGAAATCTTTAGAAGATCAGTACTTGCTATTTAGATATAGCGCTAAAATGTCGCTGTGCGTAAACATAAAATGTAAATTAAGATATCGTTTCATCTCTTTGATTGTGAAGAGCTGCAAATAATAGCTAGAATACGGTATTTGACAACAAGTCAAATTCAATACTTTTTTCGAACTGTTATAAACGACAGTTTTCTATGAATTTTGTACGAGCACACAGCGTACTTATTTCTTAAAAATATGTTGAATCAATACTAAAATTAAGTTGGTCATAAAATAAATTAATGAAAGTGTGATTATTTTTTTATATTTTATTGTATTGAACAGTCGAAATGATTTATTATTCATTCAGGAAAGTACTCAATTGTATTTATAAAAGTAGTACTCAATAGAATATTTTAATAATGGTATCGTGTATTTGTTCAGGGCCGTTCATCATCGGAAGGTTCGGAAGTGGATGCGGCCAGACAACAACGCGAGCTGATCTCACAGCTCGAGGCCAAGAACAGAGAGATCATGAGGGAGATTGCTAGGCTCAGGTGAGGAACCATTGCAATACTTTGGTATTATAATCTACCAGTATTTCAGAGATGAGTGAATTGAGTGTCCTTTTAAACAAGTCTTTAAATCCTGCTTTTATCTTACTGTAAGAATAGGGTACTTTCCTAAATTTTATTTTAATGTCCGTCTGGTACATTAATTTAAAACTTTAAACGCGTATTTTTTCTTTTCTTACAAAATTAAATACTTTCGACGATATATTAATTTGAAATATCGTGTGACGTCACAGCGTGCCACATTTTGTAGCACGTTATGACGATTATATTATATTTTGATACTGATACTGGAAACTACCCAATTCCTGTGCTGTCGAAGTGCAAATTTTGTGCTTACTCCATATACTTATATAAAAGCACTTAAGCAGAGGCCTTAGTACGATTTTGTTTTACTTTAAAGTAATCAAAACGAGACCGCGCTCGGCGCTCCGATTGGTTGGTTCATTGGAGCCAACCAATCAGAGTACCAAGCACATACCCGTTTCAATTACGTTAATCAAACTCGTACAAAGCTCCAGATAAACAACGTTATATTGTTCCCTATCCTCATTAGGGCCGATTTTTCAATGCTGAGTTAAATCTTAACCGAGGAATAACTTTCAATATTTAATCATTCTTCCTTACTAAAAACTGTCAACTAACAATTTTATTCGAATTAACTGATGATTGAAAAACCGGCCCTTGGTCTAGTATTTCAAGGGACAATATATCAACCTCCTACAATCTATCTTTAATAGATTATTCATAATAACCTCTATCGTTATGTAATAAAGTTGAAAATCTGTTGAATAATACGAAACAACTGAAAGAAATAATCTTGGATAAAACAAATTACACAAATATAACTTAAACCGTCGATATACAGCTCTTTTTGTATTGATTTCAAATCATTGCCCTGATTTCAAATTAAGTAACTTGTTTTAATATATTGTTTACTTTCCAGACGCCAACAAGAAGCGGAAGCTACCGCAGGCGGTGGCGTGGGTTCAGCCCCGCTGGTGTCGGAGCTCCGTCTGCTCAGACAGCGCAAGGACGAGCTGGAGGGACACTTGTCCTCGCTGCAGGAGTCACGGAAACATCTCATGCATCAGCTCGAAGGTCTCATGAGGATGCTCAAGGTATGTTGAAGAAGAATTATTATATTTTAAAAGCAAGAAGAACAGCTTCGGTCTGCAGATTCGTCCTCGTTCCCAGGACAAATAAAACCTTTGTGTTATCTAGATTATGATCTGTTTGCATTTCTAGGCGCAAAATTTTGTTTTATTTTGTTAGAAGTTTTTGAATGAAATAGTTACAAATCCATGGAACTAAGTTACACATTTATAATATGAGAAGTATTGATAGCAAAATCTTACGGTCAACTATGGTTACGTTATATACTACTAGCATTTACCCGCGGCTTCGCTCGCGTCACAAAAAAAATAAAAAGTAGCCTATGTGACATATTATTATACCAATACACACAGCGCCATCTATACCAATACTTTTGTTTTCCCTCGGGAATATCAACTTTTCCGGGTTAAAAAGTACCCTATTATTTAATCCGGACTTCTAACTTTACGCCTGCAAAAATTCAAAGCAATCGGTTGAGTAGTTACGGCGTGAAGGTGGAACAAACAAACAAACTCACTTTCAGATTTATAATATTAGTAAGGACTAGTAAGGATGAGTAGGTAAGTAATATACTACAAGTGTGAGCTCGCCATACTTCGGAACGAATGGGTCAGCTCGACCGGAGTGATATCACGGCCGAGCAGAAAACAGACGTGAAACGACGCTTGCGTTGTTTCGTCGTGTGATTGAGGTTACTGGAGACCCAATTTCCCAATCCCCGAATCCCCAATAATCCTCAAATTCCTAATCCCCAAAGGGCCAGTCGTTACTGGCTTAGGTTACGCACTTGTAACACCTCTGGTGTTCCGGGTGTCATGGGCGGCGCCTATTGCTTACCATCAGATGATCCGTCGGCTCATTTACCGGCTTATTTTCCATAAAAAATGTGCACCTGTAAAACCAGAACTTTCACAGGTGCGTTGTGAGCCATGAAAAGTTTTAAGTAGTCTGATATTTTTTTATAATAACTATCGTGAGACATACTAAATTAAGTAAAATCGCGGGTTACCCACGTGAATAACCCTCGATTTTACTTAATTTATATTGAGGAAGAACCCCTCTGTGGTTCGAAACTAATAGAGCTTTTCTCAGTATATTCACGTGAGTAACCCGTGATTTTACTTAATTTAGTCTGATATTGGTAGAAAGTTTCATAGTGATGTCTTCAACCAGTCGTTGAGATTTAACTGTATTTCTCTCTTAGGTAAAGTCTTTAGATTAGATTTATAATATCTTTACTTTATCTATACTTATAATAAATCTGTAGAGAGGTCAATTCTGTACATAAAATATATTTAAAAAATAACTATCAAGGGGTGGTTAGGGATCGCTACTGATGCCAAAAATGCAATCAGTAAATTTTTTCTCTGTCTGTCTGTCTGTATGTATGTTCGTTATGGAAACAAAAACTACTCGACGGATTTTAACGAAATTTGGCACAATTATTCTTTATACTCTTGGGCAGGTTATAGTATACTTTTCATTACGCTACGATCAATAGGAGCAGAGCAGTGAAGGGAAATATTGGGAAAACGGGAGAAGTTACTCCATTTTTTAAACTTCCGTCGCGTGTGCAGGCTTATAGGTTAAAGCTACATAGAAATCATGTATGACGGAAATATTCTCCTTAAAATTATATAAAAAATATTCCTCGACAGCACATGTCTATCTTTTATGGTTGACTCACAATAACACGTGAATCTCCCGATAGCTTAGCAATTCGGTGATTTCTGATTGTATTTGTCTACTCTAACGTTTACAATACTCATTCATAGACTTTACGCTATAACTCAAAGGCCAATGGTTGAAATTAGCTTGACTCGATATTATAAATGAAAATATGTGAGTTTATGTGTATGTTTGTTACTCAGTCATATTAAAACGACTGAAGGGACCGGAATGAAATTCGGAACAGAGGTAGATTATGGTCTGAAGTGATACATAGGCATTTTACCCCTGGGATCGCGGGCGAAGCCGCTGGCAGAAGCTAGTGTACTAATATGTCTGTGAACTCTTAAACAGTTCAACCGGGATTGATGAAATATTTTTATTGCATTGGTTTACTCTTATCATTTGCAATCATACAGCGATAAACGAATCGTGTTAAAACTTCATTGGCCTAGTCGTTAAATGTAATATTGTGTGTTTTCAATATCGAAATTCTGTGTAATTACACGGCATGTAATGTAATATAATAGTAATGTAACTGGGTACTAGTAAATGCACTGGAAAGTACATTATTGCTTACAAGTACTATAATTACACATACAAATGGTTATAGTCTCTTATCTAAACTTTATATTTATGCCAATATTATAGATTACGAAACTAAGTTCCCGCCCGCGGCTTTACTCACATACTCAAATTAAAATGTAAATCGTAATCCAGCCTCCAGTTTGCTTCTATATCCCCGAGAGGACACTCGTGTCCTGTTCTGACTGACTCTATTATAGACTTTATGTCCAATGTTTAGAGACTACTTTTGTATGGACGATTTTGGTTATTGAAAATGAATAATTTGCAAGTGGTTCATATATCTAGATACAAAAATAATTTCAATGGCGCTTCGTTATGATGTGACAGAAAGACCAATAAATAATTTGGCAAAATTATAATATTAATAAAGAAAGATTACACGTCATAATATTTTAATAATTTTAGCAAAAATTTACAATTCTACACTTTACAATGAAAACTAAGTCACAGTTTTTCATATACTGGTGTACATTAGGGTTGTAATGGGACACACTTTAATAACATTGGCACCCATCCCATGACGCACTTTAAGAATGGTGACCACTTCCCTGAAATAATAAAAAAAAAATTTTAATGTCAATTTATGGCTTGCGTTATTGAGATGAAAAGGATCTCTTTTAAAAGGGTAAAATCATCAAATGACTCCTCCCGCCCTTGGTGAGGCGATAAAGTGTCACTTTTATTTAATAAAAACCACCTCGTTCTAAGTTCCAACACGTGAAAAGTTGCCTATGTGTTATTCTAGGCTACAGCCTACAGTCTCCCTATCGAATTCCATATACTTATATCAAATATCTGTTCAGTGGTTTTGTCGTGAGGAAGTAACCTAACAAACTTTCGTATTTATAATATAAGTATGTTAGTATAAATTAGATCGAATGGTCGCAAGCGCTACTTTCGAACACGGGAGGTCGGATTTGATTTACGTAAAATATTTTTACGATTGTCAAAATTCCCATTAAGAGCTCAGTCGTGAATGGGGCGCGTCATTCTCTAATATTAGAAAGAAGTAAGAAGTCTTAAGCGGCGTAGTGTATTTTTGAATAATATTCTTTATATGATCTTAAATTACTCGTGCAGTCCAGTTCTGGACTAAAGGCACCGTGCTATGGGCCTCCTCTACATACAAGGGTCTGGCTATAAACTAGAATATAATCAGTGGACCGTCACGGGGTTTTGATCATGATATGTTGTGTTGTTACGTTAAATATGAAAGACACTCAATTCATTTCAATAAAATTTTATTGCAGCTATAATAATGTTAGCGTCTAAGGGCCAAGTTTTCCAACGCTACATAAATTTTAACTGAGGAATAACTTTGCATATTTAAAAACTGGCAAATGTCAATTTTAATCTACAGTTAACAATGAATTAATGTTTGACAAATCAGCCTTTAATGTCAGTGACATTTTATACAAACTACAGAGAACAAAATAGTAATCTTGGTAAATACGAGTAGAAACATTTGCTTACTACCAACCATTTCCCTGAAATATAAAAATATACATGAAAATATTAGCTTCTGCCAAACTTTTTGTGTTACTAGAATAAAATTACATTTTAATTGTGGGAGAGTCATGCTTCGTTAGCACGAGTGGACTGGCTCGACAGGAATGGTACCACGGCCCCACAGACAACCGACGTGAAACAATGTTTCCGTTAGGTTTCGCCGCGTGAGAGACGTTAGTAGAGGCCCAATCCTTGCAATCTCTAAATCCCCAATCCTCAAATTCTTAACCCTAAAAGACCGGCAACGCACTTGTAACTCCTCTAGTGTTGCGGGTGTCCATTAGTGGCACCAATTGCTTACCATCAGGTGATTCGTTGTTCTCATTTAAACTTGTTGATGTTGATTCACCATAGTGCCAATGTTTGATAGCGGAGTTGCAATGCGAGCAGTCCGCTCATCACATACTTTGGAAGTGTCATCATCATCATCATCATCATCATATCAGACCACAGCTGAACATAGGCCTTCCCCAATGACTTCCAGATAGGCCGGTTGGAAGCGAAATGCATCCAGCGGCTCCCTGTGAACTTAATCAGGTTGTCTTTCCACCATGCGGCTGAACGCTCCTACGCTGCACTTGCTGGTACTTGGCCTTCACTCCAGAACCTTTCTTCCCCAGCGCCCGTCGGTTCTCCGCGCTATTTTCCCTGGCCTGCTGCCATTTCAGCTTGCTAATCCGCTAAGCTAAGGGCCGGCGATCTTTGTTATTTTTCCAATTTCCTCATTTTTTATTCGGTCTCGCGAAGAAACTCCGAGCATAGGGCCTCTCTTTCTATAGCACACTGAGGGACATTGAGCTTGAACACTTCCATAGAGCATCGGTGACACGCATTGATTATAGACTTGTCTTGAGGCACTGAGGTATGTTGGACGAAAATTGTTGCGTATTTTGCATTGGCACTGTGGCCTCTGGCAATATGAACGTAAGCGTAACATAGTTTATTATACGGACCTTGTAGAATTTACAACTGTGCATTTAGGCGTTTGTGCCATACCTATTATTTTAAAACAAGTATAACAGCTCACACGTAGGATCTAGTTTACACTAGGCGAGATAGTGGTTAAACGTCGTCCCAACAAATATAAAAATAACCGTGGTGCTTGTCGACTGGGCATCTCCCAGTTGTGCAGTCTCTTTTGTGTCTTTAGGTTTAAATCATTTTGTCCCTGCATTAAATTCACCGAGGGAAATAGAAATGCGGGGTCCAAGATATTTCAAGTCCCTCGGACGCACCGGTCGGAGTGATCCAGTGTTTTTATGGTTCTATCCACTGTAGATCCTGGCTTACAGAAGTTGCGGCGGTTTTGGGAGGTTGTCGCTGGCATTCATTCGCGGTTTCACCCGCTGTTTGGGTCTTATTGATTGTAAAGACTTACTAAACTTACAATCAAGCTTTCCTCGATAAATGAACTACCCAACACAATATGAATTTGTAAATTCTAACCTCCGAATTCCCGTAGCTGAGCGCGAACAACCAAACAAACGATCTCTTCAGCCTTATAATGGCCCGGCCGCACTAAGGCGGCAGTTTTAACCACGTGAAAATTAATCTATAAAACCGCAAGTGCAGCTGCTGAGCTGCTTATGTTCGGTTTCTGATTTCTCATAAATGTGCGGTTAAAAACCGCAGCAATTTCGTCCTAGTGTGGCCGAGGCCTAATAACTGTGTAAATATACTTACATTTCATGTCGCCAGTTAGTTCATCGTTCACTATACATTTTGCCATATCTAAAACGTTAGTTAGGACGCATTTTATTATGTCACCAGTTTTGGTTACCTCAACGGCTGTATCGGAATCTGCAACTAATGTTTTCTACAATTAGGTTTTAGTTTAAGCGACAGCGATATAAACGTTTAGGATTTATATATAGCTTAAAGTCTAATAACCAGAATACAGTACATCAATCTTTGGAAAGAGTAAATTAGTCAAGTCGCCCATGATTATTTATGAACTGTTCGAAACTAGTCTTCAAACCTTCATAAAAAGAGCGTACTCCTTTTTAAAAGCAACGCACCTGTGGCTCCTCTGGTGTTGCGGGTGTCCATGGGCGGCGCTAATCGCTTACCATCAGGTGATCCGTCTGCTCGTTTGCCTCCTATTCCATAAAAAAAAATCATAAAAATTTGAAATTTCCTCTTTTCAAAAGTTGATATGTAATATTTATCCCCGGGTACTGAATTTTCTACTTTCAAGTCATTAGTCAGTCTACATGTGTCAGCTAAGCTCATTTTACTAGTAGGGCTTTGGAAAATCCTCACTATTCGAAACGTTCCAATTAATTGTATTATTTTTCCTCAAGTACTTTTCAACTTGTGAAATTGATTAATTAATTTTATTTACATTCTGGCTCATTTAACCGCTTATATTAATTTTTAATGATATCGTCTATGAATTTTTAATTCTTTATTTGTATCGCAAATTGTTATTCTTTGTCTATAATTCAAGACAATGTACCAAAAGCGTTAGTCAATTAAGGCCAGTTAAAGTGTTAAACAGTTTTGTATCACATGACACAAAACTAAAAAACAAGTTTACAATGGTAAAAGTCAAACCCCACTAGCACAAGGCACCGCTGACTGACGTGGCACTCTAAGGGTTAAGGTATGTTCTCCGCTATCATGGCCCATATGTTGGCTACCAATGCTTTGAATAACAATACATAGTAAGTTTAACATTTAAAAATAAACTTACATCTGTTTTCGAGGGTGTCTTCTTCTTTTGCGCTGTATTTGCATGTCACATAATTTGTGACAACATCTGTTAGATTTATGATCTCCACGGTGCCTGGAAAATAAAAAAGCAAGATATTATTTTGCCCTACTGTGTACAACGTTCATTTTTGTCTATAATTATTAGAACTTAAATGTGATAATACGGATAATAGTGACCACTTTACTGCGCTATCATTTTTGAAAAGCAAAAATTTCGTTTCCTCTAAAATGAAGGCGCAAAAAATTATTCTTACTATTCAGTTGATACACACACATACACACATTTAAGGGAGCTTTTCCACCAAAGATCTGCTATGCTACGTTGCTATGCATCTATCAATCACATTCATTGCTACACGTAGTTTAGCACTGGTGGAAACGGATTCAACTAATGTATGTTTTTTATAAACAAAGATGCGTCCTATGGATGTGTCCATACTCCATAGAGTATGGATGCATGCTGCCCTCGCCGCTTCCCTTCTATACCTCTAGATACGTCACATAGCTTGAGCTGCGCATCGTCCTCGCGCAGCTACTTTGCGGCGGCACATCTTACTCGCACTGCTACATAGCTTAGTATAGGTGGAAACGGTTCATAGCTTAGCTATTATATCTTCGCAGCATAGCTACATAGCACATATGTGCTGGAAAAGCAACCTAATAGAGACTGGTCAGCAGCGATCTCTTATGAACATTAACCTCGCGACCCAACCCGCTTGTAAATGGTTCTTATGCAGAGGAACCTCATAATTCCTGCTTACTACCTAAGCACAAGCAACACATAAAAATATCCATACCAAATTTACTAAACTTTGCGGGTTACTCAAGAGAAAATACTGAGAAAACCGCGCACGCTGCTCATGAGGAAGAGCCCCTCTGTGGCTCGAAACTACTACTAGTTTTATTTTTACGTGAGTAACCCGCGATTTTTAGTTAATTTAGGATGTACGTATAATTGTGAAAATATCCATACCATTTTTTATTTTCTCAGCCAAATCCAAGGTTTGCAAATAGGCTTGATATTTGCAATATACCTCGCCATCCGTGATGTCTGTCACATTGTCCCAATCAGCTTTTGCCACTCCCAAGCACAATACCGCACACAATACAATATACGATTTCATTTTGACCACAAATACATTACAATGTAGTAATTCTGTATTTTATATGAAGTTCGTGTAAAGAAAATTGTGTATAAAGTTGTATAGGAATGTTGAATTGTTTGTCTGTTTGATTGTGGTTTGAAAGTGCAGTTTTTGAGTAAGTTTTAGGGTGTCTAATGACACCCTACCATACTCTGAAATGAAACACGTAGATAAAATGGTAAATAAGTAATTTATATATTTGCTCCAAAATATAAGGTCGAAAACTTGCGGCCTTGCAAAAAACATCTTAGCCTTTTCTGGAAGTCCACTTAGGGCTTAAAAACTTCTTGGAAAAAAATGAAATTCGACTTCATCTGACAGTTAAATGTTTCGTTTGTTAAGCTCTCATCTCCTAAATCACTAAGCCATTAGCGATAAATTTTAAAACAGACTTTTTTTAAAAGAGTAACGAATTGAGTTTTTTGCTCGTTCTTCTCCACTCGAATCGATATTTTGGAACGAGCTTCACTGACTGACGGACAGACTGACAGACTATTATTTATTTCATATTTGTTGACGTTTCAATAGTACCAAATTATGGTTTAATTGAAATAAATGCTTTTGAGTTTGAGTTTGAATGGTCATTTTAATCAAAAAATGCAATTATCACTCCTTGGCCGGCACGAAAAATCGAACCCTCGATACGTTGCAACGCAGCCGATCACCGAACCAGAGCGCCAACCGTGCAGTCAAATGTCTGTAATGATAGTTGTAATATATATATATATCAAGTGTCCTATGGTAAAACAGCAGTAAAAAGCTAGTATAAAAATATGTAAAAGTAATGAAACCGATTTGAGATTTTCATGGTATAAAATGGCTGTCCGGTTGAGATAAAATAGAAAACAATCGATCATTTAAATGTGGCGATTAATTGTTCATTTATTATAGTTTTTGTTTTATTAGTGACACTCCAAGGAGCGTTTAGATAAGGTGATGTGACATCAGGCTTTTAACCTATTAATCGCTTATTGACATATTTCCGTATCCCTCGTGTCGTATTTTTGCGACAGAGAAATGCATATTTTTTTTGTTCAATCAACACGAGTGCTCTTCCTTATTTACTGTAGATTTTTTTTATTTGCCTCTCTATGGACACGGCTGTTGATGTTTAACTGAGGTCTCAAAAGGTTTATAATTGATTGGCAGTGGAGCCTATAACTGACATAGTATGCCTGTCTTCCTCGCAATGATATCCTAATGTGCCGCGGAGAACTTATAACGGGTTGCCGGGGCTCCGGCTCGAAGAGTAGGAGTAGAGACGGGTTGGTTTTTAGTCAGTAAGAGTCTGACACTCCTTTCCGCATCACCCAGGCGGGAGCAGTCATTCGATGATTTTCCCCCTTAAAAATGATATCCTAATGTATTTAGTTACGGGTAATAAATAAATAAATAATCAAGCATAGTTCCTATGTTCGTATGTAACTATAATATTTCTCCTCTACATAAGAGGTGTTGCATGTATTCCAGCAATGGATACAAAAAGCTGTTGATACTTACATCAGTTAATAAATGAAGTATTTTATTAGTAAATGTTATATTTTCTTTAACAGACGCAGCAGTCATCTCCTCGGTCGACGCCGAACTCTTCGCCGCGTTCCACTAAGAGTCCACCACTACCGGGAACGCAGCCACAACCCAGTGCGCCGGAGAGGTAAGCACGATTATACTTTGGTCTTTATTACGTTTCAGTAAGGTTGGTCCTACTTTTGACTTATGCAACATTTTTTAATATAGTACCCAAACGCACAAACGGTTCATCTGATCGTAAGCAAACGGTAATGAGTCAAATGAGACAAGTGCGTATACGGCCTTTTTGGTATTGGTAATTTGGCCATTAGGGATTAGAAAATTTATTAATACGTTATTTTGTTCTTTACATGTATAATATTATAATTTTCTTTAAGCTCTCTAAGCTGATTAGAGATTATTTATACAACCATGGTGAACAGTAGTCCTTTAAATCAGTGTGATTTTGCAAAATATGTTTTTCATTTTTGCAGAGAGCCTCCGCCACGAGGTACAGTACGGAGTGCGCCACAAACGCCCTCGCTGGGAGAGAGGGAACGTATCGACATGTCACACAGTCTTGGTAAGCAAAAATATAACTTAAAGATTAATTTCCAATTAAGAGTTTTAAGTGCCAATTCCTAGACTTATCTTTGGACGGAGCAAAAACTGATAATCTTAGAAAACTTAGAAACTCGCCATAGAGTTTAATCTAACTCTTTGATATTACAAACTTATTGGTTTTTAAACCACATTGAATTTAAGAAACTCAGAAGGCAGGAAACATAAAGAGTACCACTATTAGAATGCACCTTATATTGTTAACATCGAAATCAAATTACAAAATCAGGACTAGCTAAACCATAACTATTAATTGGAAAGAAAAACACATAAATAGGCAAATTGACTTTCAAATAGATTAAAATTCCGTCAATACCAAATACGCCGTCTCAATAATCTCCGGGTTCCCGCCATCTTGACTTTTTCATTTTTCGAACCACAGATTACATTTTCCCACTACGCGATGACGTTTCGTTTTTTTTTGTCAATGCTTCTAACACTAATTCAGAAGAAGTCGTGCACCTTTTGTGTCAATAGACTCACCCTTTATTAGTTAAATGTGATTTATAAAATGACCAGGACTTGCGAAATGTGACTTATGTGAGTGTTGTGTACACAATCTGAATATAATTTAAATATTTGATCACACAGGTATGGAAAGTATGGGTGGCGATGCCAGGAACTTCCATCAAAATCAAAGACCGACTACCAGTGAGTATAACGACAATATTGAAATAATAAATAAAACAAACGGGGCGAGCTAAATAAAACCGTTTAATAAATACAGTTGAAATAAACATAAATATTCTCAGTAAATCACTTCTAAATATTTTCAGTGTATCTATGAAATAATTTATTTCTCTAATTGATGGCCTTTGCCTCTTAGAGACCACATAGTCCATACATAATATATATAACTTATATTTTTAAGAAAATATTTTTAATATCATTGGTACCTACTCATTTTTTTGATGAATTAGAAATGAGCAGGATCATATTTTTTAAGTTCGATAAACTATATCTATTTATCCTTAACGTAAATTATGTGCTTAAAGCTAGCTGCAATAATTTCTAGTAAGGCTGTGAAATCGGAAGTCGGAACTATCTTTTTTTTTCTCTTACAATAAATATCTTCTAATTCATTTCGTTGCGGGAACTGGACCGGACTTCGGTGTTCTGGTGTCTTCATGGTTGTATCTATAAAAAATGTATTTCCATTCGGTAGTCTCGCTAAAACTCGAGCACGGTTGAACCGATTTGGCTAATTTTGGTCTTGAAATGTTCGTGGAAGTCAAGGGAAGGTTTAAAAAGGTAAAAAAAAATGTTTTGAGGCAGTACGAAGGTCAGCTAGTCTACTATAGATCCGGGCTTACAGGAGTTTTGGGATGTTGTGGCGGGCTTGTCCCAAAACAAGAAAAAAACAGGTTTCGATATACTTCGCATGTTTCATAATTATTATATTGGGATATCAAATAAATTCGAGACTTTCATAAAATTATCGCAAATTATTAAACATTGAAAAGGGAGTTGAGCAGTAACTGAAGATATAAATGCTTACTTAACTTTAACAAAGTAATTAGGAGAGACTGATTTTGTAAATAAATATTTCCTTGGGTTCACAATCATATTTAAAGTGAAGATAATTTAATGAATAGACTTTATTTTTTACATTTTATTAATCCAGAATGGTTTATCTCTCATTTTGTTCCGAAAATGCTTAGGGAAGTTTTATGTAAATATAATATTATTGTTAAATATTTTAAGATTATTTAGGTGCATATGGTGAACCAATTTATTTATTTGATTGTATTTTTAGATTTTAAATTGTTTGATACCAATTTTAATCGTTTGAAGGTGCAAAATGTCTCTACTTTATATATAATATCGATTTTGTCCAGTGGGTATAGACAACCGTAGCCTCCGAAGCGATCTTCTGTACGCGGCGGATTCCGTCACCAACGCTATGTCGACGCTCGTTCGGGAACTCAACTCCGGTTAGTTGCAGACACGATACAAATGTGGAACTTTTGATAATGTCACCGCCATACGTCTTGTATTGTTGGATATATATACTGGAATATAAAAAACGTGTAGGAATTTAAATAAGTTCCCCTTCTCTATAAAATTTATGTTTGTATAAAAACTTGTTTATTGAAAAAAATAAGAAGAAGAAACAAAAAGCATTTATTCGACAGTAATTGAGTGAAATCCTTATATTCTGTTTCCAAAAAAGACGTTTTGTTAAATTTTGTTAAATTTACTTAAATAACTTTTAAAACTGATAAGTGGTTTCTTATAAAACGCGCATGCGTCTATATTGTTATTAAGTTTAACTCGTCGAGTACCGGTTTTATAGACACAATTAAAGAACATTAGGTCGCGGTCACCGGTGACCGCTTGGTGTTTGACAGTTTAACATGAATAAGATTAGAACTTTTGTAATTGAGTTGTGGGTTATTGACCACGAAAGATGATGAGAACTAGGAAACTATAAATATTATTTGCAGACCTCAGGTTGGTATGGCAACAGTGAAGGCTAATGGATGTGACATTATTAAAATTCCGTCTCTTACAAAATACTTTCGTCCTTTGATTTGATAACTAAATAGTTGGAATTTGAATATCGGACTGTTTTGAAGCATTGGGCATGCTTGTATCACTTGTATGTTTCTAAAAGTTTTTCTACGGTTCGGGCTTGACTGTTACGATTGACAGATAATCTAGTTAAAAAATATATGCAAGAATTCTTCTGCACAATATTATTGTTTCAAAATGAACCCTATGTTGTATATCAAAAGGTCGATTAATATATAATTATATAAATATATTTATCGATTCATATGTTATTTTTCTAAACTTCTACTTGCTGTTGTACAGTTTTCTAGTAAATCACTTAAGTCCACTAGAAGTAAATGTTATATTAAAATCTGTATAAAATATAATATAAGTTTAAGACGTCAAGATACCTTTGTACTACAATAACTATATGTCGCCATGCCCTGAGGATTTCATGTTGAAATTGTACCCTATTATGTAACACATATTGTATACATGATAAAATGCAATAAAAAGAATTTGAATTAAAAAGAAACCAAGAAAACGAGTTATCAAGAAAATCCATTAACTCGTCGAGTACCGGTTTTATAGACACAAAGAACAATAGGTCGCGGTCACCGGTGACCGCTTGGTGTTTGACAGTTTAAACAAATATTGTTGTCAATCGTAACTTCATCCCGTCATCAAAAAAATTATTAGCAGTTATATATCGTCCTGCACCGTCTCTTTAGATGTTATGTTACATCTATACATGTTTTGCAGAGGGCTCCGATACGGAAGGTACCGTAAAAGGGGACAGCAGAAAGCAAAGAGGTAAGATACTTGTCATAGACACCCATAGACTAGGATACTGCACCTTTTTCGTTTTTACTCCTTTTTAATCTACACTGCTCGGCTCCCTTTTATTAGTGTTGTGTGCGTGTGTGTGTATTTTTGTCTATGTTCATTTTTTCTAGGTGTGATGAAGTCTATGTGGATAGTACTTTTTTTTAAATATAAATGTTTAATATTGGTTTAGGTTTTAGTCGATTGACCACAAATGCATGATTGTTTAATTCAGTTTTTTTATAGATTTATGGTAATGGTAATTTACGTTTTCAAGAAATGTCAATGTTTGTACGATTCATTTACTGATTTGTGCGAATATTGTTGCACATTAAATTAACTTATAACAAACTCATTATACTGTAGTGATCATTCAAAAAATTATCCTTTATTAGAATAAATTGTTTATACAGTAGAAAGACCGTGATTTGATAGTGATAAGTAGAACATACATTTTGTTTAATTATTAAATCTATATTTATATAAATAAAAATTAATTTCCGTTCGTTAGTTTCGCTAATACTCGAGAACGGCTGAACCGAATTGGCTAATGTTGTTCGTGTTAAAATGTTCGTGGAAGTCTAGGGACGGTTTAAAAGATGAGAAAAAATTTTAGGCTATACGAAGGTTACAGGTTCAGTTAGTAAGTAAATATAATAAACTAGGTAGGCACGTAATTCTCATAGCTCTGTGTTACTGTGTTTCGTCTTTGAAGATTTGCAAGTATTTTGCGTTCACCAGATAACATTATCGCAAAAGTAAGATTTTTATGGAATAGGAGGCAAACGAGCAGATATGGGAAGTTCACGGCTACAAATAAGCAAATATTAAATTGGTTACTGGATATTACGCCATTTTACAGTATACAATGCTTTGTTTTATATGCACTTTTCTACATAATATCACGTTCTTGTCATTTGCAGCATGTTTTATCAAAATCTTGCATTCAAATGTTTTCTTGTCCATTTATCATCAGATTTTGAGGAGGACGATGATAGCGACGAGCCGATGCCTCGGCCGCAGCCGCCGCGGCACTATCTTCATGACAACAACGTACAGGTACTTACTGAATACATTTTGCTTCGACATTGATCAGGAACGTTTGAAATAAACTAAAATGGCTATTCATATAGGTTTTATCTTGATTCTATATTCTGTGGTTTGTTTGTTGTACTGATATGATTTTTTTTATAATGTCTCAGTATATTTTGCTGGTCTTAAACTTATTGACAAAAAAGGCCTTAATAATAATTATGTAGGTATATGATCTTGTCTGATAAACATGATACATTCCCTTGGCAATAATACAATCTTTGTATGTTTTTTTCCTATTTATTATTAATTTTTTTACATGCTATTGTATTCTATTTTGTTTTTAAATGTTCTTTGTTTTAGTTGCAATTTACTTTTTATATTTTTTTTTCGTTTTTATTTTCTTTAGCAGTCGTATTTTGTTTATTTAATTACAGAAAGTCACAGCCAGTGTTGAAATGCGTTCGTAAGCTTGCTTCAGGTTTGTTTTATTTTTCGTTTTGTTTTTTTTATATTTTATGTAGATTTATTTAGTAAATGCTTTGAGAGATTTTATTATGTAAAGTATGTATTGTTGGATTGCGTATTGAGCTATCCTGGATAGCATAAATATTTACTTCATGTGACATTAGTAAAAAATATATAAAAAAATATAATTTTAACACAAAGAGAATCAAAAGTTTTGATTCAAAACATAATGTAAATCTGACCAACTGATCTTGACTAAAAATAACGCATAATTCAAACATTTGTTTACGTGTAAAATATTAAAAACGTACGTAATATTCCAGGACACGCCCCCGCCGCTGCCAGCGCGCACTGGCCATTACTACCCGCGCACATAACCACATCACTAACATAATATTATATGTACTATAAACTATATAAACTTATCCTATATAGACGTAATCCTATTATACCACACACCATTCTGTTCTATATAACCTTTACGTTAAAGATCATAATCCTCTAGCAAAGACTTGTTTTATTCCCATTTTAAATTAAATGTAAGTCGAATAACGGTTATTTTTTAAACTGATTTTTAATATGGTAACACTATTGTGATGGTATTGCAAGCCTAAGTCGCATGTTTGCCTGTATTATATATAAAAAATATATTTTAGTCTTTTTGATCAAAATACAAGCATAGTTAGTTAAATAAGTAAAATGACTGTAATTTTAATTAATTTGCAATGATTTGTAAGACGATGTTTTGTGGTTTTACAAACTGGTACAATTATGAATAACATAATAATTTATTGTTAATAATATATTTTCTACATAGTGTGCATATCAATTTCATTACAGTAAACATGTTACGAATGTTTTTGAATGAGCAAAGAGACTTGTATTTACTTGTAATGTTTGGTAATCATGATAACTATTTATAAATAAACAAATACTTTTTTTAGCCCTCTTACGGTGAAGGAAAAAATCGTGAAGAAATCTGGACTTATAATTTATAATTATAAGATCGAAATCGCCAATCCGCGATTCATGTAACATTGAACTATCTTATTACCATACACTAGACACAAATTGAAACACCGCGCTATTACTGAGAAGTTTTTTGACTGCCTCATTGACCGAGTGGTCGCAAGTGCGACTGCCGGGCAAATGTGCCCGGTATATGGCAATAGGCTCACCCCCTATTACATGGGACTCATAATATAAATAGTGAAAAGTGGGTGTTACATTGTACAGTGGCATTAAGTGCCGTAATGTGCACCTCTGCCTTCGGGGATAAAAGACGTGATGTTATGTTATGTCATGTTTTTTAAAAGAATAATTTTCTTGAGACCTTATCTGACCCTAGAATCAAACTCCAATGAGCAAGCAGGTAGTCTTACTAGTATTAGAGTAGCTTCATGTGCATGCATTTGTACGTTTCTGTTTGTACAAAACCACATTATTGGTGAACAAGATAAAACACTCATTCCTTTAATATTATTCCAATATTTAATTTGTTATATCAATATTTGATTATATACTTACTCAGCTTTGTCTTTAGAGATAATCAGATAATACCGTTACTAGGGGACTTGTCACTCGGATGATTGCAAGACTGACTGCCGCACAGGTCTTTGATATGATTCTCGCGGTCGTTACCAAAAGTAATTTTGAAATTTGGTTAGTAATAACTCGGAGTGTAGGATTTGTGGATTTGATTTTATGTTTTCTATTGTAAATTTCAATTTCATAGTGGAAGCTTAATCAAGTAGGTAATATAGGTATATCACTAAACTTTGACCGTTTCATATATACCTAGTATTATATATACGTATATACCTAGTGAGATAGTAATGAATCGCTTTCGTATAACTATGTTGCGGTATATAATTATGTCCCTAGCAATATAACTATATTACGGTTTTATCTATCTTACTGCTACTGTCTCGTTGGCCGAGTGGTCGTAAGTGCGACTGCCGGGCAAGGGGTCTCTGGTCGGGCAAAGTATTACTATCTTTTTAAATATTCTCAGTAGTAGCACGGAGTCTGGAATTGTGCCCGGTATATGGCAATAGGCTCACCCCCTGTTTCATGGAACTTATAACATAAATAGTGAAAAGTAGGTGTTACATTGTACAGTGGTATAATGTGCACTTCTGCCTACCCCTTCGGGGATAAAAGGCGTGATGTTATGCTATATTACTGCGACACATATACAATATAATTCCATGACAAGATCTCCTCACTGTGAAAATGTCACTGTTCAATAACTAAGTCTTACTACACTGTTTACACAATACGCCGATGTTTTTCTTGCTATTTATAATAAAGAATCGAGAAAAATCTTCCCTTAGTGGTGATGCTATGTATAATGCACCGTTAGTAAAACCATAAAAAAACGTCAAATGAATATGAGTTGTAAATTGACATTTCTGTTTATACTTAGACCTTAATATTGTATTTAGTAACTTGGTAAATAAGCATGCGAATTTGAACTTTATTTCTAAGAAAACATAAAAACTATGTGTTAATGTAATATGGTATCCGGGGGCATGGAACTGCCCCCCTCCCCCCTTACCCACCATGTCGAGCGCTAAGAAAACACTGCCGTACCATACTTTACTGAGACCATTTCGCCGCATTTTCAGGCCCCTCTACATAAGACCAGAGGCCTTAGTACGAATTTCTTTATCGTTTAAAGTAATCGAAACGAGACGGCGTTCTGTGCTCTGATTGGTTGGTTCATTAGAGCCGGCCAATCGCAGCGCCGAACGCGTACTCGTTACGATTACTCAGAACACAGAAATTTTCGTCATCCAGTAATAACTAGTTATCTCATACTCTTCTGAAAATATATCTGTTTACTTTATAAATATTTGTCCTAGGTTTGGCTTTAGTCAAATTCCAGTTTTTAAAACTAGCATGTCACAAGAATATTCTAGTTAAAGTTAACATGTTTTCATTAAATACGCATAGTTTTGTGAACTTAATGTTCAATTGTTTGCTGTCGGCTAATTGGTTTGGATAATAATATGATGAAATTGACGTCACAGTTCCCCTGCTAACATGAATAAATAACTTATTTTCTAGCCGTTATTGTTGTGTTGTAGAAGTTAATCAAGTTTTTTTTCTAGCCATCAATAGAATCAATAGACCCCTATTTTTCTTTGTCGTAATTCGTATAAAGTAATCGAATCGCGTTCGACGCTCTGATTGGTTGGTTCCTTGGAGCCGGCCAATCAGAGCATTTTATCAGATACTGACGTTTAACGTAATCAATCAGAAGCCTTAGTAAAAGTATGTTCGACGTATCAAATAATCGGAACAAGACCGGGTTCGACGCTCTAATTGGCCGGCTTCTATGAACCAACAAATCACAGTGCCGAACCCGGTCTTGTTTCGATTACTTGATACGTCGAACATAATTATACTGTTTATTATTGTTATTTCTATTGGTTTCTTCGGTCTTATTACTTTTTTTATTTTTTATTAATTGATTTTTATCTTGTTTGTGTAACACACTATGTGTCTCAGTGTTGTTATTTCTTTTCCTGCCACAGGCCCACAGGAAGAAATTCCAGTTGGAATATGTGGGGCCTATGTACTCTGTTTTTTTACTATGTATTGTCCTCTGTGTTGAATGTGTGTACATAAATAAATAAATAAATACTTGTACTAAGGCTTCTGCTCGGTGATTTGCAGACCACAGATCAAACTTTTGAAGTATACGAACTATCGCTGGTCGCAGTTCTATATCATACGTTAGTTCAAGTTACTAAATACAATTGTAAGTCTAAATATTGCATAGGACATTTTATTTTATAAATGTACTTTTACCTGTGAAGTAAGTATGCGTTTTGCTTACTGCGTCTAGTCCAGGAGCTATAAATTTGTAAAAAATAACTTTATAAATATAACAGGACTTTTTCAAAGTACTTAATTTTGTACTAATAATTTTTGTTGTATTGTTCTGATGTGGTCATTTATTTTGAAATTGTGTTGAATTTGTCATTCTTGCTTGACTGGGTAGACTTGTTAATATATAAACTCTTTATAAAGGTGGTTTTATGCCTGTGGAAATGTCCGGATCAGTAATTGTGGTCAAAGAATGATTTTTTTAGAACTTATAATGTTTTTTCTTTTATACAAAGCTAAAGACGGTGGTTTGTCAAGTTTATATATGAACCATCCATTATCAGACCTTCATACCTCACTTAACATATCTTGCTTGCATTACCAAACACTGACTTCTACGAATCCTGACATTTTTATGCGTATAATAAAAAAACCTTATACTCATTTATACGACATATTTCCGCAATCCATCTACTAAAAAACTGTATATAATATATTTTACCATCAATGTACTAAGCTCGCTTTCTCTACATACTTACTATGTACTATATATATTGTGTATACTTTGACATTGGACATATTATTCCTTTTTCTGTCTTCCATGCGTCAATTCCTTCCAATATATTGTACAAATATGTCAATTGATACTTCCCTTCGTCATTTTTGTGTGGTTTCTGTATTTATTGTTTATTTATACCTTTGGTGTGAGTATGAATGATTTAATTTGGTGTTCGAGAAAAAATTGGTAGATGTGATTTTGCATATGGATCAAATATGATTCTGTGTTCTAGATACACTTCTTCTTTTTAAATGCGTTGTTTAAATTAATATAACAATACGCTGAAGGAGTCTACGTGAAAAGTTTAATTACATAAAGTAAAACTATTTAGAAAAATTCTTTGAAAAAATTTCAATGGAGATTTGCCTACTCTATTAAATGTTATATATTAGTCAGTCATACTCACATACAAAGCTACTATTTGATCATAGTACACGAACTTTTACAACCACATTTTATTCCCAAAAAGCAACGATTTTCTTTGATCTAAAACTTCCAAATCAACATTTTTAATAAACATGTAATGTTAAAGCTTTTTTCTAAATACTGTAACATTCCTGTGCATTTAAATTCAATATGGCAGCTAATACGCATTTGCAGCTTATCGCTATTATTTATAATTTATTTGTTTTATGACGGTTCCTTATGATGTACTTATGAAATGCTATTTCTTCGACGTGGCGGGACATTGTAGTTAGTTAAAAGACAACATAGAATTTACTTGAAAAAATTATTGTAGAATATATTTTCTCTGGTCTTATGACAGTAGGAACTTAATTTTTGATTAGTTAAGTACGTATCTAAGTGATTAAGTTTTACCAGTCGAGTGACAGACTACAGAAAGTCTACTTCTATTTAAACAAAACTGAGAAAGCTTATGATTAATTAATAAATACCAGTTTTAATTTACAAATGTCTTATAAAGTCACCTTTGCCTTTCTTGTTCATTGCGTTCCCGCCATTATACAGGGTGTAAATGGAACATTCCCGAAACGCTGACAAAAATAAATTGTTTTTTTTTTTAATTTTAGTCGTAATAGTGCAACATTAGCCTTGAGCAGTTGATTATAATTATTATTACATGAAAAAAACATTTCCAAATTATCGGCGTTTTTCGAGAGCATTCCATTTACATCCCACAATTGGATATATATGTAACATATTAACAAATAAACCGTCACCTAACAAGTACTTATTTCGTTGTTACTATTATTATTTGCTCATACATCGTCCATTGAAGACTGACGTATACATTGAATATGTCTCACCGAAAACACGAACCAAATTTGCTACGAGCCAAAACGTTTTGATAGGTTTTTTTATTATTTTTTACGTGGCAGCTTTTTTTGAATATTACTTTTTAAGGCTGGTAACATTGGTGTTTACGTTTTCAGAATGGCTTTAAAGCCCAGTATTCAACATCTAATTAAAGTTATTTATTGATTTGAGTTGAGTATTTTGATTGATTGTTCTAGTGATTTGGTGACATTGTTGAGCTCACAATCTTGACTTCGATTCCCGAATCAGGCAGTTTAGGTTTTAAGATTCTGAGATTTTGCGAGTATGATGAAATCATATGTACCAATGTTACCATTATATCATAATACTTGAAGCGTTTTTGCGCCTTAGTTTTTATTTTATGTTATTTTAACATAATTTTAGTAAATGTACCTTTTAACTAATTTGCTCATATCACATTCTAGACCCAAATATCACAAGACAGCGAAATTATAGAATATTACCTTTTTTATTTAAATTTTAGTGTTTTGGTGTATTTATAAAATTAGGCTTAGGTATCTGCATATCATTTTTTGTTTGTTTTAAACCCTTTGCGTGTATTATGAAATATTATGAAGTTTGTTACAAAAAAATTACAAATCTTGTTGTTACTGATTGTATTAGAACAATATATTACTTTTACTGAAATACCTAAACATTTTGTACGATCACTAGGTCGGGTAAAGTATTATAGTCTTTTTGGGTATCGAAATTTTAGTTTTTAGTTTTATTTTGGTTGGTTTACGACCAAAAGCGAATATTTTATTTCAATTTAACCAATAAAAGACTTTAAAGTCTATATTTTAGACATAAATACAAATACACAAGTATTTTTACCCATCTGCGCGAGAGTTTATCAATTTGTAATTATAACCATAACACATGCATCGGGGTTTACGTATATTTGTTGAAATATGTGCAATATTGTTGTAAATCTGTCGCAAAATCTTGCCGATTTGTGATCGAAAGTGTTTTTCTATATTATTATTAAGTTTGTTCTAGATCTGTTAAAAAATCGCGGCATCTATTTTTTTATTTTTAAATGTCAATCCAAAGCATATTATTAGAATGTAAGCACATTAATTAAGATTATGTACTTATTATACAAGTCAGACGGATATAGTATCTATTCTTATGTATATAAAGGTGAAATTCGTATCAACAATTCCCATTTCTTTGATATGCGAATTTTAATCTTATTGAAAATATGTTTTCATCCAATTTTCGACCTAATTCCTGAGTGTTTAGGTAGATAATGATTTAACCGTGTAATGATTATAAGGTCTACATTTAGTATTAAGATACCTTTCATTGTTTACATATGTTTTTAGTAAGGTAAGCCCCTCTTCCCCTCCCAAACTTGACGTGATAATTGAAGTGATCAGGAATCCTAATTATAATAATATGACAGTTTTATACATAGTTCATGTGTATCTGAATGTTGTTAGCGTTGATCGGAACAAAAAAAATTAATATTAATAACTATTTTTGTGAAAAATGTGGTAAAAAGGGAGTACTATTATAATAAAATTTACTAAATTTGTATAGTTTCAAATGTATAGACATTAGAAATGACAAATAACTGCGACGAAAATCATTGCAACCAAGTCAAAAATTTTAAATCTGGCAACGTTATCATATTTTATTAACCTGGCAACACTATGTCCTATTAATTCAGTTATAATTCGAATCGTTTGAACTATAATCAAAAGATATTTTTGAAACTACAAAGTTCCAATCAACGCTAACAAACAAGTATGCATTAGTCACAAAATGTAAATGGCAACATTAAAACTATGACGTAAGTACATACAATTTAATAATCTTTTATACTATGCGTACTATAGATTTTGTATTAGCGTAGCCACGTAGTTCTGTGTTAACTTCATAAGATGTATCTAATTATTGTGTACCTACTAATTAATATAATAGGGGCAGGTATTTCAAACAACAGATATTTTTTTATCTGTAGAATAAAATTGACATTTGACAGTTTTGAATAATGCAAGAATTGACAAATATACAAAGTTATTCTTTTAAAAAAAAATATCTGGCGTTTGAAAAATCAGCCTTGAATTAACTAAATCTTCGTTTAAGTCGTTATTGTGGGCATACGGCACAAATGTTTGTGTCTTTGTACTGAATCAATATTTTTATTGCCTGCGTACTAAATAGTTTGGCTGGCTGTATGTAGACAGTGGTTTCTCGATTACTAAATGTCCGAGTGTAATGTTAAATAGGTGCGTTTTAAGTCAATTCCTATGTTAGTAGTAGCGTAAGTACTTTTTATCATGTTATCTATTAAGAAATTTTACTGATAAACTAAATTATTTTTAGTAATTGGAAAATTCTCGAATGAACTATTCATTGATTTTAAATATATCGAGTGTCGACATTAGCGAATTGAACGAAGATTTAGTAAAACATAACATAATCTATTTATATATGTATAATCTATATATAGGAGAGAGCACAAATTTCAATATAAAACAACACTCGTTTTCTATTATAATTATATAAACTAAAACTATCGTGATCGTCGTTTTATATAAAGTAAACTTCCATTTTTTAATGTCGTCGTATACGTTAGGACAGAATCATTATGTACTATGTATGTAATATATTATCATAATCAAAATAATCGGGTGTTTTGTATAAAAATATTCTTGAACTGTTTTTATAGAAAGAGAGTCTTGCTTTGTTCTAACCGATCGGCGTTAGAAATGAAATCTGTTAAATAAACCTATTTGAAACCTAAGAACTCAAGACATGACTATATATAATTATTATTGTACTACTACGACACTAGCGCCACTAGTGCCCAGTAGTTGATTCCGGAACTATTTTTGACATAAATGACATGACCTACGTGGCAAAGACATTCAGTTAATTATTCCTAGTGGAAAGAGAAAAAGGTTGTGACTTCAACGAATGGATTGGATTTTGAGAGTTTATCCGCGATATGAGACCTATTTATGTAAAATATTTATTATAGGCAAAGTGAGACTGTCTTTCGGACGAGGCTTATACATAATATGTACTTACACATGATATTGTAAGGACTTTATCATTGCAATTGTAAACATTCCATTGCTTGTGAATATGTTGTTTTATTTTAAAACCCTTTTTCTTCTTACACTAAGATATAATTCAGTTAATAAACTGAATTAAATACCTACGAATATTACTGCAAGAAACATGAGTATCGAGGTTCCATATTTAATGGTCAGATATGTTAAAGGAAAATTAAAAAAATCTTGATAAAAGTGCAGGATATTCAGAAGATAGTGAAACGACACACTTTACATAAAATATTTATTCCTAAGTAACAAAAATATTACATAACGAGATTCCATTCACAAAATTTTGACATAAATAAATATTAAATCTCAACCTATTGAAACTCCAACATTAGTTTCCACACTATTTGTATCACGATGTTCAAGTAGCTATACTCGTAGGTACATGTAACTTTGTCCTCAATTCCTAAGCAAATTAGGTTGGATTTCGTAATACAGGTGATACTTACAACTGACAATTATTACGTTATCGAATTTATAAATATAATAAAATACTACTAGTCTGTCTCACAATGTCTGATTTGGTTTCAGTTAGTCTAACTGATAAAATGACATATAATCAAAATTCAGAAATTTATCAAAAGACATGTTTGTTATATAAACAATAACTTAAGTAGACATTTTAAAGTAGACTTTACGTGAAATGGCACATTACATACGTATAAAATATCATGCGCATTTAGGAATCAAATTGGAACTAACTTCCATTGATGATGACGTAAACCTCTTATACGGCCTCAAACAGGATAGTACCTCGTCGCGGAGAACCTAACGGGTTACCGGGGCTCCGACTCGATGTGTAGGAGAAGGAACGGGGTGGTTTTTAGTCAGTAAGAGTCTGACACTCCCTCCCGCCTCAGCCAGGCGGGAGCAGTCATTCGATGATTTTCCCCCACTTAAAAAAAGGATACCTCAGGGTCGTATTCTAGGTCCGGTCATTTTTAATCTCTATGTATATGACATTTAGACTCAAAGAATCCCGTATTCGTGAACAAATTAGCTCCTGTCTATAATAATGTCGTATTTTAATTTTGATTTAAATAAATGTTCAGCCAATGAATCAAGTTTTATGGCACACATTAATGTGGTTCAAAATGGCGGGATTTTTTCAAATAATATTATTAATACACTAAACTAAGTACTTATAAGTACAAAGTTGAGTATTCATTTATAAATATTTGTTTAAATCTAATTTCTATTCTAGTTTACGATACAAAATCCTAAATTACATCCTAGACGAATTATTAAACAGCCTAAAAAATTAAAAAAGATAGTACCTACATAAAAACTCACTGAGTTTGTCGCATTCAGAATACTTAAAAATAAATCCTATGCCTACACACATAAAGTGCAAAATATCACTGTTAAGCCGTTCCAATAACTTTCAAATCTAACCGAACTTGAACGAATACTTTGACACTTAACCTCAAAATAATACGAACATGACATGTGACGTCATAATACAGTCTACAGCTTTGTAACGTCAGCTTCACAGTCTTTTTCTTTGTTTTTCACTTTGGTGTCCTTCCCTCCGATTTCCGCGTAGATTTCATCTAGGGACCTCATCTTAGTTTCTGGGACTACGCATGCGATGTACACTGTGCTGATCAGGCAAACTCCTGAGAACAGCCAGAAGATGAGGTAGAGGCCGACTGATGATGCGATCGGGTGGAACACTCGTAGTTCCACTGACATCAGACCGCAAGCGAACGCGATTACTATCGCTGTCACTGTGCCACGGAGCTGGAAATGTAAAAAAAGGTATTTTAGTATGAAGTTAAAGACAGTCTTAAGCGCAAATAGATTACACCTATGTCTCCGAGATCAGCGCATTCAGTAATCCTAGCCTATGTACTACTTTATTTGTTTCTATTTGCATAAATAAGGAGTGCAAAAATTTAAAAATCGACAGTTAAACGCGTTTTATTACATTTTTCAAAGAAGCTCGAGATCGAGATCTGTCTTCATTATTTGTTGTTAACTTCTGAAACATCGTTGTATGTTATCATAAATATTTAATCTTTTTATAAACAGTAAGATATTTAAAACTAACCTGGAATGAAAACATCTCAGTCATAATCACAAACGGCACGGGTTGTAGGCCAGCTGCGTCACAGTATATGCACAAACACAGTGCGACTATCGGCAGCCAGGATGCGGTCTCAGTATCTGCGCCGATGTGAGCGTAGAACCATGCGCCGAGAGCACACATCGCTATGCCGGAGACCAGACATGTTGTGCCGAGAAGTGGCTGCAAGAGAGAAAAAGGAAATTAGGTACCATGGATGCCTTTTATTCGCCGATTGAAAGATAGAATCTGCTAAGCTATCTCAGCTTTTTGTTTCGTATCGGAACCTAAAAGAGATCTTGTATTTACTGTGGTAAATTGAATTGACGCCTAGATTAAGTTTCTAACGCTGCACATGCATATTATGCTGTATGCAGTTTAAGTCTTAAGGCTCCGGTATTGCTCGAAACTAGTTGGTCATCCCTATAATAAGATGATGCCAGTAAACCACATGAATATAACTTTATTTACGGTTTAAGCTTAAATATTTAATAAAACGACATTATTTAACATTTACATAACGATAGATAATCCTACCTTCCTCCCAGTCCTTTCCACCAAGCTGGACGCGGTGCAGGATCCCACAAACTGGACGAGACCCAGTATAGCAGCCTGTTGGTTAGCAGTGAGCAGGCAGCCAGCACTGGCCTTGCTGAAGATGAGGGATGCGAAGTGTAACACAGCTAGACAGCCACACAACTCCCGAGCTACCGTGATGATGAGCACTATGCGGAACGCTCTGAAGGTACTGCGGTCAGTCACTGTGGAAGAAGATTGGTAATGTTAGATCTTGAGTGGAGATGGCGTTACTGCAGCTTTTTCCCAAATAAAAATTAGGGGTTTGCGTTACGAGTGCATCGTCTGGAATAAAAGATTATTTTAACATTTTCAACAAAAATAAGTATTCTGTTAATCAACAAGTTAACTAATCGAAAGGATCTTCTAATTCCATCCAATATTTTAGCTAATTAGATATTAATGTCTATAGGTATATGTAATTTAAAGTATCTACATGATGCATTTTAATTTAACTCTTTGGAAAAAATAATTAATATTGTGTGCGTGTCTCAATATTTAACAAAACTACAAGTAATAAAATCTATTTAACTAACAAAACAACAATCTTACGTACACACAATTCAATAACTAATAACTAGGAAAACAAACCCGCCATTTGACGACCGCAACCGTAAGATTTTTCGTCCGGGAGCCACTTATAACGGGCCTTGTTAATCCGACATGGGAATGTAGGTGCATAAACTCAGACACGTTACTTTAATGTTTTGTTTGAATGTCTAATTAGGTACTTTCCTTAATCAAAAATATTACTTCGGCTGTTCGATAGAAAAAAATATAAAAAAAATAATCACACTTTTTTAAATTGTTTTTAATTTTAGTTTTTTCCACCAAATTTTTACTGTTTTTAATTGTTTTTAATTTTAGTTTTTTCCACCAAATTTTTAAGAAATAAGTATACTGTTTGACGTTAAAAAAACGTGACGTCACAATACACAATCACAAAATTCATAGAAAACTGTCGACTAGTTGGCAATTGTTTTCTTCTATGCTATTCTGCATTCTGTAAGATGACAATTCGAACTCTTAAAGTGAGCCTGATCGCATTCTCGCCCGTCATTGGTCGAGATTATTCTCACAACATGGTGTACCGCGATCGAGTTTATTCAATCTTTCAAATTGAATGTTACAGAATAGCATAGCAGAGTGGCAAGCACGAATATCTATCGCATTCGTAACGTAATAGTATCGAGCATGTTCGGCGTTCGGATTGGTTCATTCACTGGAGCCGGCCAATCAAAGCGCTTGGCATTCTGAACCGATTTTGGTTATGAATGAAAAAAGTAAAACTGGCTAAAATTTGAGACTGAAAATGTATTTAATCTATTTGTAAATATCAATTTATGATGAAGCAAGAGCATTTTGAAACGCTGTTCTGTTCATAATTATGTACGTAATATTATTATTTGATTGATTTAAATAATTTAACTATTCCAGGTATGCTGGGGTACTAGGTGCTACAAATCTTTTTTGAAGCTAGTAATAAATATTTATAGCTAATTATAGTTTGCATGTAAACTACTCGTTAATTTAATAAATTTCCAGTAGCCTCTATTGTAGAATAAACCTTAACTTTAACTCCAAATAAAACTGATAACAACACTATTTTACGAACCAATTAATACAACATTTCATTTTCTAACACCAAAAGTGTTACCCACTCCGAAACCAGTTGGGCGTCCCAAAAAAAACTTCAAAAACTGGAAAATAGTGGGAGTTCTAACCCAAAAACCTATTTTATAAGTTAGCCAAACAAGAACCGCGGCCGTGTTGAGAGCATTAGTTTGGACAAATATTCTCTAAGCTGTTTGCCAGAAGGTTCCCGTTATAGGTACCCATGGTGCTTGTTACCGGCCGTTTACATATTGTTACCGTATGCCTGTGCACACAAACTAATGACTCGGCTAGTCGACTGTGGATCTAAGGCCTGTAGTTGGTTGTCTTTAGCTTAAATTCCTTCAAGTTATTGGCAGAAAAGTACTGTTCTTTAGAGCCAGTTATTGTTTACTGTAATTGCAATAGAAATTGTTAACTGTATGCCATTGATAACTAAGCATTTTCTTAACATTCGTCTCCTAAATGTTACGGATAACTCTCAAATTAGTAACTAATTTAATGAATCCTTTTTTATTGTCAGTAAAAGTCTAAGTTACCTCATTAAACATTTAAGTAGATACATCCCATGTATATTCTCACTTACGGCTGAGATTGATAGCAGTTCAGATCTTAATGCAAAATGTCTGGATAGATCTCGGTTTTTGATAGAAATTCTACTTAGGTAATAACTCTTGTTTGTGTGATCCACAACTTGTTGTTCCGGGTCTGGGTGTCATGAGTATATGGACTTGATGTTTGTAAACACAACTACGACACAGTAGAAAATCCTAGTGTAGGGCAACATTTTAATAATAAAAAAGTCAAAAATCCATATTTAATAACTGATCCATAAGGTAGTTTCCTAATAGACACATATTTTTTTCTTTTCTCACATAATAAAATACTATCGACGATATATTATTATTCGACGTCACAAAACACTAAATTTTTTTAGCACTTGTGACGTAACGACCTTCCAGTCCTAAAACTCCATTTTATGTAAGTATTGTAACTTTATATTAGCAAATAAAAAAACTGTCAAATATTTTGTCATAATCTAACCTAGATTTTTAATTTTCAAATACCTTATTCAAATATTTTATCTTTGGATTAATAAGCCCGTTAGATAGAAGACAATATGCAACTCACCAAGAGTCTTGAGTGCAGCGCTCATCTTGCCCGACTTGCTTTGTTCCAGCTCGAGTAGTAAGTTCTGCAGCTCGTTGTCCACTGCGGGCTCGGATGGCGCCCGGCACCTGAGCCAGGCTAGCGCGTCCCTAGCTTCCTAACAAATTTAATTGATAGATCAGATATAGTACCTACTTAATAAACCTAATGTTTCAAAATAAAGGACACTGAAGTGGAAATGCAGTGTTTATTGATTTTTGGGATTTGAAAATAGTCCTACAGTTGTTTTTTTACATTTTGTAATTAATTTTTCAACTGTAAACCTAATAACTATGCATAGAATTGAAAAATGGAACATTTGAGTGACCTAAATCTCTTGACATTGTGTCAGAAGATTGAATTTCCCATCAATCACATTTACACAAAAATACTCTTCCTCACCTCAACTTTCCCGCTCTTCAGCAGATACGATGGCGTCTCGGGCATAGCGATGAACAGAACCAAATGCAGGATGGGCACAATAAGACACACCCAGAGCATTGCATGGTAGCTCAAGTACTCTCCCATGACATACGCAAACAGATTGCCCAGGTTCTGTGAGAGAACCACTAAGCTGCCAAGAGTTCCTCTGATGGTGTCCTCACTGATCTCCTTGATGTATAAAGGTGTGACGACGTAGGAGCCACTGACTCCAAGTCCCACGATTGCTCTAGCTGTTATGAGGGCCCAAGTCTCCGTTGAGTACAGTTTGAGACCCCAGCAAGCCTGGAAATGTGCAATCAGTCATCTAAATTTCATCATTTAAAGAAGTTCACTAGGTAAAAGCTGATAGGTATGTATGTGTAATTAATTGGGTCGTTAGATACGATTGGTTGCCGAGTAAGAAGTTTGTTCGTACTCAATTTCTGATTAAAACAAATCATTAAAACATGAGGTTTTTTTAAAGTAGGTCGGTAATATGTATTATTAAAAAGTTTATGTTAATTACATAATTTAACTTTAAATTCTAATTCTCCTATTAAATCTGTCCACACATTAGATACCGTTTTTTTCAACAATTTCAAAAGACTTCAAAAACTTACAGCCATAGAAAACGAAGTCAGCATCAACGCCTTTTTCCTTCCATAGTTGTCCACAATGTATCCGAATAGGAACACGGTGGGTGTTCCAACCAGGTAGACGACTGATGCCATCCAGGATATGGTGTCTGGATGCACTGGGGCTGCTGCTGGCGTGTCCTCAGACATCAGACGGGGACCCATGGGAGAGATCCAGCCAATTGCCGTGCCATATGAGAATACTGGTAGGACCACTGTAATAAATAAATAAAAAATGATTAAGTGTGTTTATTTGGAGTTAGAAAGATTTTATCATAGATTCAATTGTTGAACCCTAGGTTTTTCGGATAAAACTATGAATGAATACGAACCTGAGTATATTTAAATTCTATGGTAAACCGAATAGGTAATCAGTTTATGCTCACTACCATATTAGTTCATTAAGTAATTCGTTTTCATTTTTCGAAGAACCCAACGTTTAGGTTATTGAAGAATCAGAATATACATAGATCGAATTCCCACAATATAGAAACTGTAGGGGTACCTGAGTATCTACTCATCTCATACAAACATTTTAACGAAGAAGTCTTAAAGATCAATTAGTGTTGTTGAAAACACCCCGAACCAGGAATAAAAAAACGCATTTTAAATCAGAAGTTACATGCGCTTGATACGCTCTCAATGTAAAAAGACTCGTGAAAAATTAAGATCAACTGACATAAGTGTGGCAAATTCCGTCAACAAACAGTTCCATATACAGGTCCACTCAATTAAAATAACCAAAAATTTAAATAATATTGGGTCAATCACGCATTACTTGAAGTAAGCCAAATAGACAAACAAAAAACAGTTTCATTAACTGCATGAAATTCTTTAGATGCTCAATTGTCATTACAAAACAAAACAATCTTGGCATGAATCAATATTTAATTAGGAGGAGCTGATGCAGACGGCAGCGCATCAAGCTTATACAAACTGTAGTAGATTTATAACATAAAATATGAAATCCAAGTATCACAAGGTGTCTAGGGCTCGTTTCCCGGATCGAGCTAATCATTCGTTGAAATAAGGTAGAATTGCATCATGTGTTTCTCCTGCTTCGACACGAATGGGGCGGCTCAACCGGAATTATCTCACAGCGTATTAGAAAACCGGCATGGAACTACGCATGTGTTGTATTCCGACGTGTGAGTTGGGTTAGCAGACGAGGCTCAATCCTAAACTCCCTAATATCTAAAAGACCGGCAGTATTCTAGTAACTTATTCCTTTGGTGTTGTGAGTGTCCATGGTCGGCGCCGATCGGTTATTCCAACCCATGAGGTTCGTTTGCTCGTTTGTAAAATGCATCAAAGTCGCAGTTGGTATAATTTGATACGCTGTTGTCTGCACACGTGTTCTTGACTCCGTGCCAGCTCATCTTGTAAACTGGCTTCCTGACCCTATCACGGAAGACGTGCGTTGATCATGAGCCAATGGGGGCTTAAAGAGGTGTTAGGTACTAAATTGTAAGTTATCGAGACAAGTAGTCTACAAATTACCCGTGATACTGTATTTTTAAAAGTGTTTTTATTTATTTTTTTACTAGGTCGATTACTATTGGCAGCAGCTTATGGCCCGCCTGATGATAAGCACGGGCTCCGTAGCAATATCGCAACATTAATATTAGTACTTAAATATTTAGTCTATAGTTTAATCAGTAGTAGATAAGGTCTTCACATGTTTCATATAAACCATGTTTCTTCATGAGACATTGTAAGGGAATGAAGTTCATGCTGGGTCATTAATTGTCCCGGATCAATTGGCGGGGTCGCCATATTGTCTCGTTGATTGGTCGATTCAACTCGTGCGCAGACGCCGGGCAGTCTCGACCCTTCTATGTCGGAATTATTTTGTGATACCAACGTGTATGATTAAGCGTGTATTATTATCTTGTTTTGAATGGAGATGGTTAATTTTAATGTTTATGTTGTGGTCTCGTATGTAGGTAAACATGATTGCAGAAGTTAATGGTTTCAGATTTGATTCTCAATTTCTAGGCATAACTTAACCTACAGACACACCTACTTATAGAGGTTTGGGGGTAAGAAAAAGTACACATGCAATGTAACACCCATCTTTCACCAGTTGTCTATGTAAAGAAAAAAAGAAAAAGCATTTATTGGACAGTAGGCACGCACACAGAAACAAAGATAATTCAAAAAAATTTGATACTAAGACATATAATAGAAAACCATAATAATAAACTTAAAAGAGTAAAGGCAAGCACAAAGATACGACAAAGAACGTATAACAAAATAGGGACAATACAATAAAAAAATTAAAAATAAAGATGACAGATATCACATGTGCATTAAGGGGTTAAAAGGTGAGACATTATGATAATTTAAGACATCCAGCCCTTCCTTTTTTTTAACAACCTCTCAAAACCGCTGCAACTCCTGTAAGCCAGGATCTACAGTAGATACAACCATGAAAACACCGGAACACTGAAGTTCGGCGCGTCCCAGGGACATGAATAACTGTCTTGGTTCCCGCAACGAAGTGAATCAGAATATCATAAGAGAAGAAAAAAACGATAGTGTCCACTTTCCTCGGTGAATTACTGCAGGAGACAGAAAGAATTAAGCCTGTACAAGGCACAAAAAAGAGACTGTACAACTGGGTGAAGCCCAGTCGCCAAACACCACGGAAATTTGACTAAAACTAAGTGGGTCCTATGTATGAGCTGTTATAGGTACTTGCTTCCAATAATAGGTATGGCAAAAGCCTTTCTGCCCTTGCTGCCTAAATCTCTGCCTATACATCCTTTAAAACAAATAAGAACTTAAGATACTACCTACGATATTAATTTAACACGTGTAGAAATACCACAAAACATGTGCTAACGAAATGATCACAAGTATACAAGTACGCTGACAGATGACTACATCAATGACGAAAACATCGATTTTATTAGAATTTACCTACCTTTTAGTCTTAAACACTTTATTTGATCAATCTGTACCTCACAAATGTATACCTAAGCTTAAATAAATATTAAAGAATCTGGTTTTTTGTTCTACTATCATTAACAATGCTGCACTGACAGGCAAAGGCAAATAGAAATACCTTTGAATTTCCGAAAATGAAGAATTATGCTAAAATGTAAATCGATAACAAATATTGGATGTAAATTATATAAGTACGGACAATATTATATTTGGTATAATCTAGTATTTTTTGGATGAGTAGGTATCTGGTTTTTATTTATCTAGCAGCTAGATTAAATAGCTAAAATATTTCATCATCATTTTCGTATCAGCCGTCCTCTACTGAACATAGCTTTCCTAATGATTTCGACCGATGGGAGTGAACTGTATTCAGCGGTTCCGTCGTAGGTGCGTCGCCGTTGGTTTCAACAAGCAAGATTCAATTATTACGTTTTCGGCTTACTCACGTAACTGTTTGACGAGGAACTCGACTAGTTTCAAGCCATGCTAGGGGCTCATCGACCGCCGCAGCAGACTCGAGTAGCCAGTAGCAGCGCGACAGTCACCGAGTCGCGTGTCGCAGAATGCTGCTTATAAATATGACCCTCTATCATAGCAGTTACGTGAGTAAGCCGAAAAAATAATCATTAATTAAGTATGTCTCACGAAAGTTTTAATATAAGCAAGATTTTAGTTTTTTTCTTATTCAAACATAATATTTTATTAGCAAGATATAACAAATTAATATCACTCCTTTATTTCCCCGAAACTCGTTAGCAGAGGTAAGGAGAGGTGTATATTTACGTTTTCGTACTAAAATATAATAAATTACTAGCTTTTACCCGCGGCTTCGCTCGCGTCACAAAAGGATAAAAAGTAGCCTATGTGACATATACGAATACATACAGCGCCATCTATACCAATACTTTTGTTTTCCCTCGGGAATATCAAATTTTTTCGGGATAAATGTACCCTATTATTTAATCCAGACTACTAACTTTACGTCTGCAAAAATTCAATGCAATCGGTTTAGTAGTTACGGCGTGAAGTCGGAACAAACAAACTCACTTTCCGATTTATAATATTAGTAAGGAAGTAAGGATAAGGATTATGTAATACCTAGTTATACCACCCTTTTTTTATATATATTTGATGGGCTGACGTTTGACCACTATCTCGCCTAGTGGTAAGCGATGATGCGGTTTACGATGGATCACGTCACACGGCGTCCCATAACCTATTCACTCGGGCCTTGAAGGTTATACCCTTCAGGAAATATAGACTGGTAAACAATGCCACTCTTTAGCAGTACTTATTACATAGGTCTCCCAAAAACATTTGCTTCACTTTAATGAAAGAAATGGTCTACTGACAATATAGTCCTTACCGAATCAGAATCAACTTGTTACGAACATATGTATTTACTTACTTCCGCAGTAACGCAATGGCGTCGAACCCCAGGGTTGGGAGTCAAGTGGCCGAACGTGGTGGAAAACATGTTATGAGCAAATAATATTATGTAGGTATCAAGGGGGATGTTTTTACTTATGTTTTGTGATTCTACGAAATATTAAATAACGTAATAGGTATTAGAAAAACATGCGTATTGTTTCCTGCAGGAGAATATAGAGAATGGAGACCAGTTTTTATCTAAATGTTAAAGGTTATTGACATGACAAGCCTATGCGTGAAGCGATTAAGGAATATAATTTTAACTGTCTATGTAGCCAAACAAGAATGTGGAATTACCTAGCAGATTTTGGTGGACAGATGAATCTGGTTTAGATTAACATATTTCTAATGTCATATTTTAGAAATTACGGTTTCTACGGTTAGGCGTGATGGATTACCGCAGTTTTTGTTTGTAAAAAGGTTGAATACGCACCCCAATTAGTATGAGAGGACAGTAGAAAAAAATTTGGTATATAATTATACAACATGTAACGTAATTAACGTACACCCTCAAACACCCCAATTAAAATATTATGTTATAATCATAATACATACACTATATTTTTAATTTAACATCTAAGTATATGCAGCCTTACTGGTCTTGTCATTTATTTTTCTTTATTTTGTATTGAATTTGTATGAATACAAATAAAACTGCGATTTTAAAAGTCTTATTGCTTTGACTTACGGTCCATTTCGATTTGTTTTAACAATACAGGGTTAATATGACAATAATTTCCGTAGTTTTAATTATTTGTGGGATAAAAAATTACCTAGACTAAAAATTATATAAATCGATTCAGTTAACGATTCTGAACAAACTATTTTCAGG